ATGAAGGAGACCAGCAGCGGTCGCTCTCGTACTACGCTCTGATATGTCCGCGCGATACGTGGCTAGTGCTTTTAGGTGAATCGGTGCATTCTCCTGATACAGCAGTGAGTGCACGAGGACACAGTCTCTATAGTCGATCATGTTCTCGAATGACAGCCAGCCGAGCTCCTGTCTTGTCTTAGAAATACGATCAAACTTACGTTTCCGTGTGACAATGCGAGTTGCATAGTTCACCACCTTTTCCATGCGAAGGCGATCCTGCTTTGCAGGTGGCGCCCAGGCCGGCAGACAATAAGTCACATGCGGAAAGACCAGGGCACGAATGAGGTGTACTAGGGTAGTTCTTGGCAGCGTGTCTCGGATCTTACTGATGGTGATGAGATTGCTGTAGCAGCGCTGCACCACTCTGCTCGTCTGTTGACGCATGGTAAGCTCTCGGTCCAGAACCACACCTACGATTTTGACACACTGGGCTGGTGCTATCTGTATGCCGTCAAAGTTAATCATGAATCCATTAGTCTTTTTTATGGCTGCCGCTGTTCCAAAGACGATGAGCTCCGTCTTTGTGGGGTTAACTTTAAGCCCGTTTAAAGTGAACCAGGCAGAGACAGTGGCTAGATCGGTCTCCGCCCTGAGACGCAGCTCAGTGAGACCTGCCGGGGTTGGCGCGGCGCAGTGCAGTATCTGGGAGTCGTCAGCGTAGGTTATGAGTGACGCGTGATGTGACAAGTGACACGACAGGTCATTTGTGAACACACTGAACATGATGGGGCCGATCGTACTGCCCTGGACCACTCCATACGGCACCGGGAGGCTGCCGTATGGAGTGCCGTAACATCCCCAAGACCTGCATGTCTTGAAGATGCTGCTTATTGCTGAAGGAATATTCAATGTAATATTCACATTTAAGGCAAAGTTTGAGCCCCACCAAAGGTCATTGACTTCAACTGACCTGCAATCTGGACATGACCCAATTATACAAAATTTACAAAATCATAAATTTATTGTTGCTCCAATACATAGGTGCAAAAAATGCCCAGTGAAGTTGTACTGTGCCACATACATACATTTAATCATCTTTTTGTTCTGATGTCATGAGAGAAAAGGGTTCAGAACTCAGAGGTCACCAGACATTGGGGGCAGATGTGATTAAAAATCAATGATTGGTCTAAAATTAATTGAAACCTTAACCCGCGCCCTGCTGGGGGGGGGGGGGGGGGTGTTTGAACACCCCCTTGTAATTTTTCGCGAATATCTCAAAAACGGCGGCGCGGAGCCGTTTTTGGTACACCTTATCATACATCAATTCTACACATGTTGTTAAAATTTCAGATCAAGGTCATTCAAGGTCAGGTCACCAGGTCACTTGAAGTGACCTCACCTTATAAAAAGTTTCAATGTCTGTCATAGCTACACCGAGTGACCGATCGCTTTGAAACTTTCAGCGATTGCTAAGAGCAATAGCATGTACAAAATGTATATCTCAGAATTTTGATATCGATGACCTAAGGTCAGGTTAATTTTGCGACCTCCCCATTATAAGTCAATGGGAGAAAATTGAAATGCGCCTCTTTTGGACGAAAGACATTATAAACACTCCCAAACACTGAATTACAAGTGGTTTAGACACACTGAACATGAAAATGGTGTCCGTGACCCCTGTTTATGCCCTGAGGTCATCTTAGGTCACGAATGGTATCTAACAGTTTTTCGCAAATAAGTTTTGATAGAGGTATGCGAGAGCGATGAAAACACCCTAGATGTGTTCAGCTCGACGATACGGATCGACTGTTATGCAACATGACCCTTTCCGGTCATGTCATGACCTTGACCTGAGGTCACATTTTCAAGTTGACCTTTCAAGGTCAAGTTATAGTTCATTCGATGCGTCTTGACGAGAGGAACACGATGCCGGTAAAAGTAATCTCGTACAAGGCTTGGGCCAAAAGTTATTGCAGAAAAACTGTTTCCGAAAAAATCGGCTATTTTTGCAGTTTTTGCCCCCTGCAGGCAAAACCGTTGACGTTAGGCCAAATCCGAGAGAATTATTCAGAAAAAGCGTTAATAGGGCTATCGAATGCGCTTTTCCGCGGCGCTGTAGCTCTATTGGTTCCCGAGTTATGCGTTGGCTTCTTGGAAATTGTCGACATTCGACCTGGAAATCGGCGAAATTTTGCCTTCAATGACCTCCGGTGACCTGACCTTTGACCTGACCAAAAAATTGACCGAAGTGATTTCGTCATTATTTTTGACGCTCTTTCGAACGCCTCCTTCCGCGTATCGCTACGTGGCCCAGGAGCCGAGTTAGAAGGGCGGGTGTGTGTGTTCAAAAACCCCTCCCCCCACCAGGGCGTGGAAATCCCGCGGCCGTATTCACGTCGACTTCGTAAGTCGATTTTCTTTCGTAACTACAATTTGGTATTCACGTCGACACTTCGTAAGTTTTTATCGATACGGCCCCAGGACCCCCAGCCGGGCGCGGGTTAATGAGGACACTGAAAATTGTGCGGCCATCAGCTAAATCTGAGCAAGTTGTTGTACAAGAGCACAAACTTGTATGCAAAAATATTTGATAAATAATATACCACTTGCTTAGGTTAAAGTGACCATCCCACCTTAACATTAGTTTTGAGTTGAGATAGCCAAATTGGTTGCCATGGCCTGCAAATACCGGTTTGGGCACTCACAACATCGAAAAATGCTTTAATTCGGAGATATGGAATTTCAAACTTGCAGTTTTCGGATTCTAAGGGGCTAATGCATTGAGATGCCCCCTTAGAATTTGTGACGTCAGCGGTGATCTAACGATTTTAAAACCTAATACTAACATATTTGTGAAGCAGTGGTGGTATATGGCATATGCTATTTGCGCGCAACATCTGCCGCAAACGCCGCACTTCCAAAATGAAGTCGCTAGAAACAGCGGAGATCCCAAAAAAGTAAACAAAAGTAAAAGTCTAATATCTTGAAAACCGGTGAATATTTTTCGGTGAACTTTGGTAGATATTCGTTTTTGCTCTTTCTGAACCGAGCGACATCACTTTCATGCCAATTCATGAACTTTTTAGAAGGTGGGAGCCGGGAGGGTCCCTTTAATCCTCGCCGGCACAGGCCATTTTGAGTCCTTCGACGGCACAAGGGGGGGGGGGGTTGGTACGACCCCCCCCCCTCGCGTTTGGCTCCTGATGGAGCTAGAGCTTCGCGGAAAAAACGAGCGTGTTGCCTGTCACGAGAGGAAGCCAATGATACCCAATTTTAAGGTCCTAGGTCCTCGGTTGACCCTCCAGGTCAGGCCAATGACCAAAAAATCGGGAATATCGGGACATGTTAGAATTAGAAAGTCGTAAAGCGTGGCTGCTAAGGGGTTTTCCGGGGTGCTGATCACGAATATAGTGTTAGTTTTGATCACAGATGATGTCGTTAAGCGTTTAGACCAGGTCGGGTCAGGTCAGGTCAGGTCAACCGGTAGGGGTCGTGACGGGTATTCGTAATACGTGTCAACCGCCTCTGACAGCTTCATAACATGTTACGAAGGCACCAAAACTACTTCGAAAATGTTCAAATGGTTACTAAATTCGAATTCAGCTCCAAAAACTAGCGTAGAAACATGTAAAACTCGAAAAAGTGAACCGAGGTCACCAAAGGTCAATGACCTGACCTGACCTTCAGGTGACCTTGACACCCACCCTAATGCATGGGAGCAACATGAAATCACATGTTTGAACGTTTGAAACCACGAAAAGCTTGCAAACGCGCGGCTAATGCTAGCCGACTTACGCCGAATCGCGATTTCGGCCAAACATGGTCACGGAAAAGAGGTCTTAGGTCAAAGGTCATTGGGGTCAGGGTCATGAAATTTTCAGGTAGGTGTAAAATTGATGAATGTGAGAGTACTGAAAGTTTCGTCGTGATCGGCCGCTTTTTACGCGAGTTATTCGCGAAAAACCTTAGACCCCCCCCCCCCTGTGCCGGCGAGGGTTAAAGGGACTGTCTGAATATTGCTTAGTACAACAAAATGGCCAGGCTTTTTTGGCCAGTTATTTTTAACCTTCGCCCGTAAAGGGGGGGGGGGGTCGAACGGACTCCCCTGGGATTTTCACAAATAAGTCGCGTAAAAAGCGGCCGACTGCGACGAAACTTTCAGTGCCCTCGCGTTATTCAATTTTACGCCTACCCTGAAAATTTCATGACCCTGATCTGAATGACCTTTGACCTGCGACCTACTTTTCGAGACCATGTTCTGCCGGAATCGCGATTCGGCGTATGTCGGGTCGCATTAGCCACGCGTTTGCAGTCTTTTCGTGCTTTCAAGCGTTCAAACATATGATATGATGTTGGTCCCATGCATTAGGGTGGATGTCAAGGTCGTCCAATTGATGTCCAGGTGATGTGTAACAGATGGCGATTTGAAGCCAATATGCTGGCAGCTGACAAGTTTAGGTTGTATTAGGGTAAGGGTATTGAGGGTGACATGGTCGTGCAGTTCTTCTTTGTTGGGATGGGCGAACATTTGCCAAGTGGCAAGTGCTATGAAAATTCGCAAAAAAAATGCTGACGAACAATTGACGAACAATATGTAGAATCGTGAATGGAGATGTGTAGTGTAGAAATGCTTTACTACAATGGACAAAGATGTGTGAAGACGGATAAATGTGCGACGATGATTTTGTCCTGCAATTACGATGGGATGTGATACAAATAAACGCGCATGAAGACATGCAGGGGCCAATTTTTGTAGGTTCAGCAAAGAAGTGCGAGATGAAGTTTGATGTGGTTACTAGGACAAACTTCTAACCAAGCAGCCGGCCCTATATGATCTTAAGATCGTCTAAAGATGTACCCAGTGGCAATGATTGTGTGTTTTTGGCAAATTGTCCCGCAATAAATTGGCTAACCATCTTCCCAACGTATGGGCATATTTCAGCTGCTCCAACTCTGGCTACTTAGAGCCTGGCTGCTTTGCTGATCTTCCTATCTCACTCTGTGTTTGTTGTTTTCAGAGTTGCTCGAGGTGGGGAAGAAGGACCGCGCTCTCGATGTCTTGTACGAGTTCATCCGGCGCGGCCGGCACCGGCAGCACAACTTCTCCGAGAAGGAGCTCGAGCCCATCATGTTCATGTACCTGGACCTCTGTGTGGAGCTCAAGAAGTCCCACAATGCCAAGGAGGGCCTGTTCCAGTACAGGAACTTCTGCCAGAATGTGAGCACTGTCATGCTAAGAGTACTAGTTCAGTGATTAGGGTTCAATGCTTGCATAATCAAGGGAACCTGCTGTAACCATATGGATCTAGTTTTTTTTTGTCATTATTGCATTGTTTTATTGTTTGCTCTCATGATGACATGTGTTTCAAGTGATGATATAGGTTGGTTATTTATTATATAGGTTTGATAGGCATCAGATACGTTTATAAACATTGTTACATCAATCAACGTTTTATGGCAGAGTGTTACAAAAATTCACCCGTCTCACGTCGTGCCTTTGTGCACGACGTGAGATGGCACGGATGAGAGTTTTATGGCAGAGTGTTGCAAAAATTCACCCGTCTCACGTCGTGCGTTTGTGCGCAGGTGAACGTGGCCTCGCTGGAGACGGTGGTGCGCGGGTACCTGCGCAAGGCAGAGCTGAAGACGGAGGCGGCCCGCAAGGAGTCGCAGGAAGCTGTGGAAGAGGTGGACGACCTGGAGAACCTGGTCAGCCCCGAGCAGCTGCTGCTCAGGTCAGTGGTTCCCTGACCCCGCGGCTCTCGCTCCACTGGCCCCGAGCAGCTGCTGCTCAGGTCACCTGACCTCACCTCACCCTAGTTTGGTCCGGAGCAGCTGCTGTTCAGGCCAGTGTCACTCAGTCGTTGGGTAGCACTGGCGTGTGCCGTTACTATTCTGCTGTTGTGACTGGCCAGTGATTTGTGACACACCAGCAGCGGTGACCATTCAGTGAAGAATTCGCTTTGACCGGTCACTAGACGGACCCACATTGACCGATCGCTGACAGATCCGCTGTGACCGTTCGGTGACGCCCCCCCCCCCCCCCCCCGTCCTCCCGTCGACTTTGCAGCGCGGTGAGCGGCGAGGACAAACAGGACCGTTCGGACCGCACCATCCTGACACCCTGGGTCAAGTTCCTCTGGGAGTCGTACCGCCAGTGTCTGGAGCTGCTCAAGACCAACTCGCGCGTCGAGTCGCTCTACCACGACACGGCGCGTCAGGTGAGCGATGGGACGAGAGGACACGCCCGAGATTTGGAGCCCCTCGTGTGACGCTTTTGTCATCATTTCGAATTCGTACAGCAGCTGATATTCACAGTCAAGATATTTGTTAGTCAGTCAGAACTTACCTTTTCTTTGGCTTGGTCGTAATTTCAAACTTTTCTTTAACGAGTCATCTGGTTTTTTGAATGATTATTGTACAAAGCATCGCGGTTAATTTAATATTCAGATACATATGTTGCTGTCGCATTAATCTTGGGATCGTGATTGAGCGTCGTTAATCGCTTCCTCTCATTTATCGGCGCGTGGCGGCTGCTTTTAGGCGTTCCGCTTCTGCGTGAAGTACCAGCGTAAGACCGAGTTCCGCAAGCTCTGCGAGATCCTGCGCAAGCACCTGGACCAGCTGAAGCTGCACTCGTCGTCCAACACCATCAGCCTCAACAATGTGGAGACGCACGCCAAGAACATGGAGACCTGGCTGGCCCAGCTGGACAACGCCATCACCCTGGAGCTCTGGCAGGTGGGTCGCTTGATCGACTGGTGGGCCTTGGTGCCTCGATCAGCTGATGGCCAGGACGTGGGTCGCTAGTAGTGCCTGGTCTGATAACGGGCCGTCCGAGTGGCTCCCTGGTACCGCAGTGGATCTTCGGATGGACGGCAGTGCCGGCTGATTGGCGAGGGTTGCGGTCACTGGACGGTGTTGTGCTCTGTTCTGCAGTATTTCTTGCTGTAGTGACCGTGCAGTCGTGCTGACGATCAGCTGTGCTGTTCCGTTGACAGGAGGGCTATCGTGCCATTTACGAGCTACACAGCCTCATGGCGCGCTCCAAGACCAAGCCTAAGACCCAAATGATGGCTGGCTACTACAGTAAGCTGTCACTTGTCTTTGCCAAGGCCGGCAACCTCCTTTTCCACGCCGCCTCCCTCATCAAGTTGTTCCAGCTCTCCAAGGATCTGAAGAAGAACCTGTCTCCCGAGGAGATCAGAAAGTAAGTGTTTGGTCTTTGCTGGTTGCGTGTTGATAAAGTTCTTACATTACAATTTCCCCTTCCACATTATATCGTCTGCTTGCTTTCGTCGTTGACTGCCCGCCGTGCGGCTGGTCCCGCCGTCAGGATGGCCTCTCGCGTGCTGCTGGCCGTGCTGTCGGTGCCGCTGACGCCGGCCCACCTCGAGTACGACCGGTTCGTCGAGACCGAGAAGAACGTGATCGAGAAGACCGAGCGGCTGGCCAGCCTGTTCCGCATGCCCAAGGCGCCGACCCGCGAGTCGCTCATCAAGGAACTGGTGAGCGATCACAGCTGAATCGCAGCTGACGGTATTTGTGCGTGGGCTGACATTTGACTAATAAGCTGTTGGATTGAGTGTGATTATCAACCGGCTTTATCGAATAATCCTGAGTTACAGTTAACATCGGTTCAATGTATGTATTATAGCGCGTTTACCTTGTTACTGACCGGTCGGGTGTGCCCGTGTCGCGCAGAGTCGGCACAGCGTGCTGCAGTTTGTGGGCCCGGAGCTGCTGCAGCTCTACCAGAACATGGAGGTGACGTTCGACCCGCTACACGCCTGCCACAAGATCAAGGCGGTGACGGACGCGCTGGCGGCCGACCCGACCCAGGAGACGCTGGCGTGGTACATCGAGCCGCTGCACAAGGTGGCCCAGCTGCGGCTTATCAAACAGGTGAGCGGGACGCGCGACTGCCTGACAGGACCGTGGTGGCCGGTATGGAAACGGGAAATGGTAAATGTGGAAGGAATGAATCCGATATTAATGTATGTAATTGCTTACCTGTACTATTCTGACATGTGACTGATGAATATATTCCTGATGTGACGCTCATCAACCTGCATTGCCGCCGCTCATGCTCTCCACTTTTTCTAAACAATCCACGATTTGTGAACACTCAAAAGTTTCGTCTCCGACTAATACCGTTGCGTCCTGTTTTTGTGTTGCAGGTGGCGCAGGTGTACCAGACGATCGAGTTTGGCCGGCTGGTGCAGCTCTGCCCGTTCACCTCCGAGTTCCAGCTGGAGCGTATTATCGTCGACGCCGTCCGACGCAACGAGATGCAGATCAGCGTGGACCACCGGGCGCGCGCCGTCCACTTCGGCACCGACCTGGGCGAGTTCCAGCGCGAGGACCAGCTCGAGGGGCCCGTGCTGCAGCAGATGCCCAGCGAGCAGATCCGCACCCAGCTGATTGCCATGTGCTCGACGCTGCACCGCGCCCGACTGGCCGTCGACCCCGACTACAAGAAGACGGAGCGCGCCGAGCTGCGCGCGCTCATCCACCGCAGCTACCACATGTCCAAGAAGAAGGAGCACGACAGGATCCTGGCGCGCCAGACCTACATCGAGGAGCACAAGGAGCGCATGGAGACCATCACCAACGAGCGCGAGGAGGAGGAGCGCCATCGCCAGGAGGAGCTCGAGCGCCAGCAGATGATCGAGGAGCAGCGCCGCCTCGAGCGCGAGGCCACTGAGCGCGAGAAGAAACGCCGCGAGGACGAGATCAAGATGATCAACGCGCGCCAGCTCAAGAACAAGATCCAGCAGATCAGCCAGACGAGCGTCGGCCAGAAGGTGATCAGCAAGTACAACGAGGAGGAGCTGCTCAAGATGGACGCCGACGAGATCATGGCGCGCCAGATGGAGGAGCTGGAGAAGGAGCGACGCGAGCAGGCGCAGAAGCTGACCAACCAGTGGCGCCGGCTGGACCACATCGAGCGCGCCAAGCGTCTGGAGGAGATCCCGCTGGTGCAGGAGCGCTACAAGCAGCAGAAGGTGGAGAGCCGCGCCGCCTGGGAGGAGCAGCAAAAGGAGCTGGTCGCCAAGGCCATCGAGGAGCACAACCAGGCCATCAAGCACAAGGCCCGCTTGGCGCGCATGGACGCTGACAAGAACACGTTCGTCAACAAACTGAAGTCGGCCAGGAAGAGCGACTTCCAGGCCAAGCTGGAGGAGTTCCAGAAGAAGCTGGCCAAGGTGCGTGCCGAGCGCCTGGAACAGCGCAAGGAGCAGCGGAAGCAGGAGCGTCGCCAGCGCTGGCTGACGGAGCGCCAGGAGGAGGAGCAGCGGCGCCGCGACGAGGAGGCCAAGCGGCAGCGCGAGGAGGCCGAGCGGCTCCAGGCCGAGAAGGAGGCTGCCGAGGCCGAGGAGATGCGTAAGCGCAAGGAGCAGCTGGATGCGGCGTTCGCGCGCCAGCAGGCCAAGGAGCGCGAGATTGAGGAAAAGCGCCTTCAGCGCATGGCGGCCGAGCAGCCGCCGGCCCGCGGCGGCGGCTGGCGCGAGCGCGAGTCTGCGCGCGAAGACAGCTGGCGCCCGCAGCGCCGCGACGACGGCGACGAGAGCGGCTGGCGTCGCGACGGGCCGCCCAGAAGGGACGACGGGCCGCCCAGAAGGGACGACGGGCCGCCCAGAAGGGACGACGGGCCGCCCAGGAGAGACGACGGGCCTCCGAGGAGGGGCGACGGCCCGCCGCCGCCGCGCAGGGATGACGGCTGGCGGCGCGATGACGGGCCGCGCAGAGACGACGGGCCGCGCAGGGATGACGGACCACCACGTCGCGATGGAGGGTGGAGACGCGACGACGGACCTCGCCGCGACGACGGGCCCCGTCGGGATGACGGGCCTCCGCCGCGCCGGGATGACGGTGGCGGCTGGAGGAGGGACGACGGGCCCCCGCGCCGTGACGATGGAGGCTGGCGCCGTGACGAGGGACCCCGCCGAGACGACGGACCGCCTCGCCGTGATGACGGATGGCGGAGGGACGACGGGCCGCCTCGCAGGGACGACGGCGGCTGGAGAAGGGATGACGGCCCGCGGCGCGACGACGGACCTCCGCGCAGAGACGACGGCGGCTGGCGGCGAGATGACGGACCTCGCCGAGATGACGGGCCACGCCGGGACGCCGGGTGGGGCCGCGACCCCGCACCCCGCCGGGACGACGGGCCGCCGCGCAGGGACGATGGAGGCTGGCGCCGCGATGACGGACCGCCGCCCCGCCGTGACGACGGCGGCTGGAGGCGCGACGACGGACCGCGTAGGGATGACGGCCCCCGCAGGGACGACGGGCCGCGCCGTGAGGGCGGCGCCTGGAGACGCGACGACGGCCCGCCGCGTCGGGATGATGCGCCGCGCCGCGAGGAGGGTGGTGCCTGGCGCCGGGACGGCGCACCGCGCCGCGACGAGCCGCCACGTGGGGACAATCCGCCACCGCGCGGCGACGAGTCGGCGTGGCGCCGCCCTGCGGAGAAGTCGACCCCGGCGCCGCCGCCGGCCCAGAACGCGTGGCGCCGCCGCGAGGAGCAGCGCGAGCCACCGCACAAGGAGGCGCCGCCGCCGGCACCGGCGGCCGCCCCGCAGCCGGACCCGGACGAAGAGGAGGGCTGGACCAAGGCGACCAAGGCCCGCCGCTGAGGAGCCGAGGCCCGCCGCTGAGATGTCCGGCTTTTGAGTGGGCAGAGCCGCGCTGCAGCCCGAACCGTAGTTACTCCCCCCCCCCGGAAACCCAATATATATCACCGTTTGTAGCATGGGCGTGGTGTAAGCTTTCGCTGGGTCAATCGGCCCCCCTGTTATCAGTCTTACTTAGTAATTCCCGTCGGCGTTGACTAATTTGTGTTGGCGACGCGACTGAGCGCCGGTGGCCTCAGTAAGGCGTTTTCAGGCTTCGTATGCGCATGGTCCTGGATTCCTTTGGTGCTCCTTACGTCTCAGCTAAATAAACTCCGAAAGAAAATTACCAGCAGTTTCAGTGACACAAATGAGGTCTTGAGGTAACCCAAGGTTCGAACCCCAGAATGATAAGTTACTTGTGAATGCGGCCGCAGACTGGTAATCGGGTGCGGTAAACTAAACTGCACTCGTAGTTGCAGTTGCACCGGCAGACCCCAAGGACAGGGTGTGTGTGTGAGGGGAGATACCTGTGTCTTGTTTTGGAGTTTGCGAAAACAAACAATCACATTGAACGTTTTGGATGGCTTGGTCCCGAAATTTCGTCCGGTTCAAGGCTATGTAAATTGGTCCGGCCCCAGAGACGAGGCCATTATTTGATGCATTTTGCTGTTCGTTATAACAGTTCGAGCAATAGAGAACATAGTATCAAAAAGGTCATGATAAAAGCATTAATTATTCATGATTGACTATCAAATGAATTATCGCCGCGATTTTTATGTGACATGTCTTTCCATTAACCCGCGCGGGGCTGCGGGGGGTAAATTTTACCCCCCCTCGCGAATTTTTGCAATATCTCAAAAACGGCGGCGCGCAGCGCCGCCAAACTTTCAGTACCTTTTCTTACATCAATTTGACACGTTCCCTGAAAGTTTGAGCGAAATCCGTCGGAAAATTTTTGAGAAATTGACGTTTTAGTGACGTCATGTTCGCCATTTTCGCCTCAAAAACGGCAAAATTTCAAACGCCGCTAACATCTTCATTTTTAAAGGAATCAAGACGTAACAAAAAAGGTTATACGTAATTCTACTTTGTCTATCAAATGGCTATCTCGGTTTTTTGAAAATTTTGGATTTTGGCCCAAATTTTTTCAAAAAACTGACTTTTTTTGGGAAAATAATTATAAAATCCAAAATTTTGAGTGTATCGAAAAAACCGGAATATATGTCAGAGAAGTGGTCTATGAGCACCTACATATCAATTTTTAGAAGAATCAGCTCAAAAACGTGGGAGTTATTCAAGATTTTATGACGTCACGACACACAAAATTTTTGAAAAATGATTTTTTTTGGAAGTTCTAGACCTCGTACGGAAACAAAAATAGCACCATTCGATTCGCCGTGAAAAACTGCATCAGATAGACACCTTTTTAGGCCTTAACAACCAACTTCAAAATTTGACCTCACTTGACCTGACCTTGACCTGACCCCGACCTGAAATTCATCCAGAGGTGGTCCATATCACTTATTGAGTGTGCGTATTGAATTCTATGAGTAAAATGACCCATAAAACATGTGTCGCACATGCCCTTTTCTATATTTTGTTTTTTGGTGACCTGACCTGACCTGACCTGACCTTGACCTTGACCTCTGAATGATATTGTATGCAACGAATATTGTCTTGGTAGCCTAAGAACACGTTTTGGGCAATCAGTCTCAGTCGATGACTCCATTCTTCGGCAGCTACGGTGCAAGGCCGATACTGTAGAAACTTGCAATTTGTACCCTTGACCTGACCTTGACCTTGACCTCAAACTTTAAATTAAGTACATGTTTTTAGTTGTTCGTGATGAGATCTTTCGATTGGCGTTTGAATTTTCCAAATCGGACCATTAGTTCGGGAGATAACAGGGGGGGGGTAAAATTTACCCCCCCCCCCCAGCCCCGCGCGTTCGGCTGGAGACCCCAGCCCCGCGCGGGGCTGGGGACCATCCTAACCTAACCTAACCTAACCTAACCTGGGGACCATGTTAATGCACCGAAATAATATTTAGTGGTGGATTGCCACATGAATCTGGTGCACCATTGACGATTAGTTGCGCAAACAGTTTTGGTTGTTCGTTGTTCTATATACCCTGCAGTTTTGTGCCGGCTCTATATAACGTTCATAAAGTATATGGGACGACAAACAGGGCGCCTGGGGCGATTTGATCAAGGTTCGTGAAATTTACACGTGACGTTTGGCATATAGAAGTCCCATGAAGCGGGAGAAGTTCCGAATGTCACGTGACTGATATGCCCTCCGGCGCCCTGTTTTCACCGGCGTCCAGTATATGGCCTTGGTGCCGGCGGCATTGCGGACGCCGGTGAAAACAGGGCGCCGGAGGGCATATTAGTCACGTGACATTTGGAACTTCTCCCCCTCCACCTTCCCTCCACGGTCCTTCTACATGCTAGACGTCACGTGTGAATTTCACGAACCTTGATCAAATCGCCCCAGGCGCCCTGTTTTCACCGTCGTCCGGCATTGCGGCGATGATATTATGTGGATATTATGTGGATATTATCGATATTATTACGCTATTATGAGCATTGTGCACCAAGAGGGACCCTATCAGTGTTTTTATATACCTTGACCTTGGGCCCCATAGTGTGCACGACAATGACAATGCCATTTATCTTGATACCTATTTATCTTGTGCTCAACTGGCAACTGCATAATCCTGTTATAAGGCGATAACAATAAATACCGATAAAGCACGGTGCGGCCAAGGCAGTATATTGATATGTACGGTCCCAGGACATTCAGTTATGGTTTAACTGATTTCTTTTTTGGTTAATAAAAGAATTTATACAATTTTGGCATTTTATTGAACATTTTCACATCACTTTTGACCATAAATACACCACATTTGGTGGATCCAGAAAGCTTGTAGATGATGGGTGGGTTCATAAAAGCTGTTACCTACCTAGCAAGGTTTTTGGAAAAGTTGTTGAATTTTAACAAAAAAAAAAACAAGCTTTGAGTACTGAGTAATTTTGACATCCATGGGTGCATATGCCTCAGCCCTCAAGGCCTCAAGTCCTCTTTGGCGGACCAGTGATCTGCGCCCAGGACAAGAAAAGGGACTAACTATTTCTGTATGTCTGTCTGTCTCTGTCTCTGTCTCATGTTTTGATTAAATGCAACTTGATATTATTTGGCATTATTCCAGATTCTCAGAGCAAGAATGGTATGATGGAGCACAGTAATTCAGTGCAAGTTGAGTGTCAGGCAATAACTTCCTTGGAAGACCTATTGGCATGGAATGAAGAAGAGAAGACACCACATCAACCTGTCCAAATTGCTAGGACACCTCTGGCACAGTTTGATTGTAATGGAAGACCATTGGCTGGTTGTGAGCAGCCAAGGCTTCTTGTCTGCCATGATATGAAGGGTGGTTATCTGGATGACAGGTATAACAACCATTTTTGCATATCGTCTGAATTCATTGTTTGCCTGATCAGCTATGAATCATCCATATTTTGCCCCATTTTACATAACTTGTTTATCAATCACAAAGTTGAATGCTGCTAAGTGCTAATGGTAACAAGAGGGCATTCTGATTTGCTGACTAAATAAGAGTGCTTTTTGATAAATTTATTTTCAGCTATGAGCCATGTTTTTTTTGTGTAGCATGTCTGACAATACCTATAATATGCCCTTGGTTTGTTTGCAGGTGGTATGGTGGTCACAATGATCCATCAGCATACACATTTTACCACTGGTCTCTGGTGGATGAGTTTGTCTACTTCAGCCATGAGCTGGTGACAGTGCCACCCTGTGCCTGGGTGGATGCTGCCCATATTCATGGTGTCGCTATATATGGTGAGGTGGGGAACCACACTGATTGGCAGGTTCTTGGGTAGGCTAGCAATATTTACACCAGGATTGAAAATGTTCTATATTTTTAAATAACCAAATGCCATTTTGTTTTAACCGTGGTTTGGTTCTCATTTAGGTCATAACTTACACATATAATCTAGCCATCATGCATGCTGTGTATTCTAACAGCTGCACATATTTTGGCATTGTGTTGTGTGATGTTCATTGCGGTCGCCATACACCGTCACTTGTTCCCGCCTCCCCAGGCACGCTGATGACCGAGTTTGACGCCGGCGCGACCATCTGCCGCCGCCTGCTGCGCTCTGAGGAGACGGTGGACGCCGTCGTCGACCGGCTGGTGGCCGTCAGCCGACACCACGGCCTCGACGGCTGGCTGCTCAACATCGAGAACCCGATCGACACGCAGCAGGTGCGACTGCACGGCTACGCGACTGCGGGAGGGCTGCTCGGCGTTCACGGTGTGGCTCCGAATGCAGCTGAGATTCGTTGCTGCTGTGCTGAATCGTGGTTTGTCTGTCCCGCGCTGCTGCCGTGTCCTCACTGAGCGCTGGGTCTGTGGTGTCTCTCCAGCTGCCGACCCTATCATACCTGGTGCGCCGTCTCACCGAGAGGATGCACGAGGCGGTGCCTCACTCGCGTGTCATCTGGTACGACTCTGTGACCCGTGACGGCGAGCTACGCTGGCAGGACCAGCTCAATGAGCTCAATGAGTGAGTGGCTTAACTGTCCCCCTGTCCGCTGCAGTTTAAGATGTTAAAAGTTTTATGGTTAAAATTGCTGAAATTTTTGCATGCTATATGCGCCCGCCTGCAAGCTGCTGCTTAGTGGATTTCTACGATTTCAGCTGTTGTTGGTATCTTCTGCATCTGTGGTAAGTATTAGCTGACCGGACTTTGCATGTCTGCGTTCTGACAGGTGTTTCTTCCGGCTGTGTGACGGCATCTTCCTCAACTACTGCTGGACTCCGGCCGGTCTGGCGACGTCCCAGCGACGCGCCGGGCCGCGCCGGCGGGACGTGTACGTCGGAGTGGACGTGTTTGGCCGCGGCTGCCCGGGCGGGGGCGGCTTCAACTCGGTCCAGGTGCGCCACAGCTCCCTGGGAGGGTCACCTGCGGCCTCCCTGTGACCCAACGTACGGTATAGAGCCAGCAGCGAGGCGATGCGTTCTCTGCGTTGGCTGTTGGCTCATGAACGAACCACCGTTGATGTGATTTGAGTAGTTGGTGTTCTTTAAAGGGACCCTCCCACCTTAAAAAAGTTAATGAATTGGCATAAAAGTGATGTACCGTGAATCAGAAAGAGCGAAAATGAACATCTACCAAATTTCACCGAAAAATATTCTCCCGTTTTTGAAATATAAGACTTTTATTTTATAACGCGCGGTCAATGGGCTTGATGACGTCATCAGAGGGGCATTCCACGATAGATCGTACCACTTTTTTCCAATTTGACACCCTCATCTCTCGGAATTTGACGAGAATTGGTCTCAGGGGTAATCAGGGGCTCTGAATCCACCTGTAACAATTTCAGGCTTATCAGATAAGTATTTTTTGAGTTATGGTGTATAACATTTTTTGGATCTTGCTTTGCAGCGCTAAGTTTGGCGGGCTGTAACTCTAAGACGGATTATTCAAATGCCAAATGTTATATAACATTGAACTTGCAATGAAACAGAGATTAATATGTATTTTTGAAATTTCGAAAAATACGCTATTTTTGATATATGACATATCGAGTTTTCTTTCATTTGTATTTTTTGGACTTTGGGACCAAATTTTTTTTGAATTTTTATTTCTTTAAAAAAATATTTGGCTCATTGTTAAGAAGTATGCAAAAAATTAGGAAGGTGTTCTTTCTATAAATGTATTTATTTTACGTCACGATAACGGTTTCGAATAGTGATTTCGGGAGGGGAGCTTACAAATGGCGTGGTAAAGCTGCCTAGTGACATCACGGGTTACTGAAATTTCAATTCAAGTCTGAGTCATCTGAAAAAAGTGAAAAGAGGGTTCATTCAACCCTCTCTCCTATAAGCGCGAGGGTGAAAAAGGCTGTTTGGTTCTGACATTGTTTTGGACGCCAATGACCATAGCTGTCCGAGATGAAAGTTATAGGACGCATACATGGTGTCCTCCAGAGGTCTCACAACTTGTATATCTGGGAATTTTTCAAGGTTACATGAGGTCAGGTCGGTCACGTGACATCACTGTTATAAATCAATGGGGAAATATAAAAACTGTTATTTTGGCGCCGAGAATGATCTAAAACTATCCCACGTACATGGTATCGTGATTTCATGCACTCCTTGCAAAGTCCAATGCTTTACTTTTGCATCGTTAACCTTGCGTGACGTCATTTATGACGTCACTAGGGTCGTACGAGTTTCTCGTCAATAACTCCCGATCAAATGGAGCTAGAGAGTCGGGAAAGCCACCAATGGACTCGGGAAGACCTTCCGAATCGAATGATATGCCATATGATACCATTTGCCCAGCTTCGTGACCTGAGGGGCTCTGACCTGACCTTGACCCGAGGTCAACTACTTAAGTTGACCTCACCCTAGCAAAAAGTATACCATTCGATGCACCTGAGCTAGGCGAACACAATGATGCCAAAATCGCGGCTCTGCGGCCATTTTTTGCGAAGTTATTTACTAAAAACCGAACCCATAACTTCAGTCACGTGAGTCGTGACCTGACCTCAGACGCTACCGGTTAACCTGAGACCTTAAAATCGGGTACCAATCGCTGCGACTTGTAACGGCACACACGCTCGTTTTTTCCGCGAGGCTCTAGCTCTATTAGAAGCGAAACGGCGTGCTGGGGTCGTATCAACCCCTCCGAAACCCATTTTGCTTGCGGGCTAATGAGGAACTTATAGAAAGAACACCTTTCTAATTTTTTGCATGTCGATTTGCAATGACATGAAGATTATTTTGAAAAAATAAAAATGTGAAAAATTTTGGTCCCAAAAGTCATTAGAGGCAAATGAAAAAAGATTAAGGTTTTTGCTCAACAATGAAATTTTTTCTTGGAATTTTTAAATAGTAATATTAATTTTTGATTCATCGAAAAGTGTTGTTTACTTTTTGTTGGTTGCTTAACCCGTTCTTGAGTTATAGGCCATCAAACTCACCGTTACATACCGAAGTTAAAAAAATGTAATGCAATATAACTCAAAAAGTTTTTATCTGAGAAGTCTGATATTTTGCCAGGCGTCTTTAGGGCCTATGATTACCCCTAGGACCGATTTTCATTAAAATCTGAGAGATGAGGGTGACGGGCCTGGTACGATCTATCGTGGAATGCCCCCAGAGTCCGTTAGTGTTAAGAGATGGGACTACGCTGGTCCCACCCTGCAAGTAAAGGGAAGAAATTTCTTGAACACTATAAAGCTGCGGAGGTTGCGACCAGGATAAATGGTGGTTTCTGAGCCTGACCGCAAACTTGGCTATCTCAACTCAAAACTAATGTTAAGGTGGGAGGGTCCCTTTAATTGTTAGTTTATAAAGCTCACCAATGTCGTGTAACAATTGTTAATTGTATGCCGGTGTTCCCCATTTGCCGTCAGCCGGTGGCCGAGGCGCGCTGGCTGGGACTCTCTGCTGCCCTTTTCGCCCCCGGCTGGACCCACGAGCGGCTGGGTGCGGAGCGGTTCGCTGCCGCCGAGGACGCGCTGTGGGACCGGCTGGCGCCGCTGCTGCCCGTCTCCGGGCCGGCCCGGCTGCCCCTGGTCACCTCCTTCTGCCAGGGCCGCGGACTCAGGCGCTACAGCCACGGACAGGTGGGCAGCCGCGGGCACCGGACTACTGGGGCTGGGGCAGGCCGAATGGGCCGCCGACACAGACGCTTCTCTATGTAGTGGAAAGGAGGGGACTGTATACACTAACGGGACTCGGCGGGCCGTCCGGAGTCCCGGACCACGGTCTGAGAGACTTTACCAATTGCAAGGTTGGCATCGTACTAGTTAAGGCTGGGGCAGGACGTCACTGCCGCGGTATGAAGTGCGTCTGCCTGCGTATATCCCGTCCTGATTCACACCGCCCCTGACATTTTCTCTAACTCCTTGCCTCCATCGATCGACAGGTGACGGACGAGTCTCCGTGGCACCGGCTGTCGTGTCAGCAGCGGCAGCCGAGCCACCTCCAGGGGAGCCGGCCGGCCGACCTGCCCCTGACAGACGCCGACGGCCGACCGGTGCCCGCCGCCTTCCAGCTCAGGTGCCCGGCCGCCCTCGGAGCGGCGGAGGACGGCGAGAGGTGGGTTACTGGACACACAGACTGCGGAGTTGTCTGGTAGTGGGCTCGGGAAGACTGAGCCACTGCTAAGGTAGAGACTCGGGCATACTGTGAGACTACACAGTGTCCCAGTGTAAAGACACTGACTCACTGCAGGACGGTGACGGTCGACAGGTCGACAGCCTTACCGATGTCTCTGTGGTACCTTTGTCACTAGCGAGAAAGACCTTTCCTTACCGACGGCCTAGCCTGATCCAGTCTGCACGTCTCCATCCCGTCAGAGCGGAGAGGTGGCGGGCAGAGCGGCGGAGGATCGAGGCCGTGTGTGCCGCCGGCGAGAGCCCGCTCCAGCCCGGCTGGCTGGCTCACCACACCCTGGAGGACGCGTTCGACGGCGGCGGCTGCCTGGCGCTGGCCAACCGCTCCGGCCGACGGGCCGTGTACAGGTGAGGGCGCTGAGTGCTGACCGATACTGACCACAGCTGACCGAGCGCGGACCGGCTGAGTGGAGCTGATTAGATAGAGGGCCCGACTCTGAACTGTTAATGTACATTTTAACATTTGGTATTTGAACGCATCGGCTGATCAAAGCTCACGGTTGTTTTAACGGACATTGCCCTATAGCTTAAGCATTTTTGTTTCGTAAAAAACCGTCAGTGTGATTCGAAGTTTGTGCTTTTTTGGTTTTCACTGATAATTGCCCATGCCGACCTGACTCTGTGCTTACTTTCAGGCTGTTCAGCTGTGATCTGTCGCCTGAGGTGGGCGCCGGAGGGTCATCGCTGGCCGTTCTGTACGCGCTGAAACCCACCGGCGGTACGACAGCGAACGACTGCGCTCTGTGCGCTGACCTCGCCGACCCAGCAGACAGGTGAGCGCTTAACGCTGGCAGTCACCGGCTGCGCTCTGTGCGCTGACCTCGCCGTCCTGGCAGACGGCGACACGGTCAGGTGAGCGCATAACGCTGGCAGTCACCGGCTGCGCTCTGTGCGCTGACCTCGCCGTTCTGGCAGACGGTGACGCGGTCAGGTGAGGGCGGACTGGGCTGATTGGTGGACGTTGGATCAGCTAAGGACTTTAGGGTGGCGGACTAAAGCGGGCTTATTTCTCCCGTATTAAAATGGTCATGTTTTTTTTTAAAGGTCGCAAAAGTTCAAAACTCCTCGTATGTTAATTCGTGATCGTTCTTCATCACCTTAGGGCTTAAGTTAGGTACTGAACAACCGGTGGCAAATCACTAATCATCCCCTTTGTATCCCCGACAGCCGCGTGCAGCTGGTGTCGGCGGCCGCCGCCGCCGAGTACAGCTGGAAGGCCAGTGTGGAGTCGGACACCGACTCGGTCACCTGCCTGACGCCGCTGTCCGCCGACCGGCTGTGGGACGCGCCGCCGGCCGCCGCTCCGCCCGGCCCGGCCCAGGGCGGCTGGATCACCCGGTATGGACGACTGGACGGCAGTGCTCCAACTTCTTTGATGCTCAAGCATGCGTGTGCTAGTATTCGTCTGGATATTTCTTGCACTGGAGCGTCGTTTCAGTAGCGCTTGTGGATCAGCTGCCTTGGCATGGATTTTACTGGCTTCCCTCCTGTCCCGCCGACTGCACTAACCCGTCCCCCTCTGACCGCAGACTGTACCGACTGAAGGGTCCGTCCGCCGGTCGGCCGCCGCGCCTCCGCTCGATCGGAGTGTCCCTGCCGTCCGGCGGCTCCGCGCTGCTGGGCTACCTGGCCGTGCACGCCTGGCCAGGGTCGGAGACAGAGGAGTAGCCGCCGGCAGGTCAGGTCAGACCGGCACCCTTCTCTGTGGGATACCGCATCAGCCGCCAGCTCTGTGATAATTACAGTTTGATCATGATAGTAATTTGTACAGTGTGCAATGACTTATAATGGGATGCCTAATTTTTAATATGTTGATAAGTCATTAATATATGTGCGCAACATTGTTCCCTAAAGTGTCGAGAGACGTGATATAATTCTATGATGATATTGATTTTTTCGTAAAACAATGTCCACCACCTTTGCAACGGGATGCATACGTTTATCTTATTTGGTGATCCGTATAAATGTTGCAAGCAGTAAGCACGCTAGTTTGCAGCGACGACCCCCTGATCCTTGACAGAAGTTAAAAGGCTACTGCAATCATATGTGATATGTTCATTAGTCATCATCTTGTCAACGCCCCTGGACAAAGAAACAATATATTCACATGTTGACAGATATTGATATTGGGCGTAGCTGACAGCATTCTTCGGAGACCGTAGCTACGTGATGCCGCGAACCTTACATCCTGGCATTGTATCGTTTTGGACGGCTTTGGACAGAGCTCTGCTGCAGCATTGACAGTATTTGTTGTATATTCGCAACAAACATTGTATAATAGTGCGTAATGGCTTGTGCGATCAATAATTGCTTTGCCAAATGTATACCGACAGCCAAGAAATCAACGCCAACTTGCAGGCGCAACGACGCAACTGCAGATACGTGTGGCACATGTTGCTGCACAACATCTCACTTGTTCGGTGTGTAGAGTTTGCATATGTATATCACGTATCCCACATTTCACATGATAGGGCATCACTCGTCTGACATCACATTTGACATTGGCTGATATTTCACGTAGAACATGAATCTCTGCACTCACAGTATAATAGCACCACAATGGACGGAATAATGCACTCGAACCCGCCACAGCACTCCGCCTTCCCCTCAGCTGTCGACCGGCTGGCGCCATGGCTCACATGAGCACGCAGCCTTTCTCTGTGTCCGCCTTGTCGGTGCTCTGCTCGCCACCATCGTCCTCTCCTTGTTTTATCTTTTCGGACATGATCTGCGCCTGGAGCCGTTTCTGGTTCTCCAGTTCGGCGCGCAGTTTCTCTATCTCGTCGTTGAGCATCTGTTCGCGCTCGTGGTTGCGGCGATCTTTGCTCGGCGGTCGGTAGGACGGGCTGCCGGGTTTGGCGGCGGCGGCGGCTGCGCGGCCCTGCTGCGGACTCGTGCTCACTGCGAACGGAGAGGTGACGGGCGCCTGTAGCGGCGCGGGGGCCGGCGGCGGCGGCGGCGGGGAGGGCCGCCGCCGCTCGGGAGAGCCGCCGCCGCCGGCCGGCCACGGCACCTCTGTGGCGTCCAGCTCGTCCCGCAGCCAGTCCGGCACGGCCGCCGTGGCGTCCGGGTCGTCGTGCGGCCGGCGCGTGCTGGCCGGCCGGTCGGCCGCGCCGGCGGCCCGCTGGCCGGAGTCAGGCCGGCGCGGCGGCGGGCTGCTGTCGGGCGAGCCCGAGCCGCCGGCCGGCGCCGGCAGACGCGGCAGCGGACACGTCGTGTCCACCACCACGAACACGTTCTGGCTCTGCGCGTGCAGACTGCCCAGACTGAGCGTCTCGCCCTTGGCAATCTGCGCCTGCGAGGCGTACAGGGCGAGCACCTCGCGCGGCTGCAGCTGCACCTCGCGCTGCGTGTCGGCCTCCTGCTCGGACTCGCCGGCGGCGGCGGAGGCGGCGGCGCGCGCCGAGCCGCCGGCCGCCGCTGCCGCCGGCTGCTCGCTGCCCGGCCGGCTGACAGCGCCGCCGGCCGCCTGGCTGACGCGCCGCGTGCCCCACAGGTAGAGCACGTTGTCGATGGTGCCCACCACGGTGAAGGTGCTGCCGCACTGCACCATCGTCACCGTCTTGTCCATCATGCTGCGCACCAGGTTGGGCTGCCCGGCGGCGCGTCCGCGCGTGTGGCCCAGCTGTCCCTCTGAGCTGCGCCCGAACGACACCAGGTGGCCGTTCTCGGTCAGCGCCACCGTGTGGTGCGGCCCCATGCTGACGTCGATGATCTTAGAGGTGACTGACTTGACGGGCGTGGGCAGGAGCGCCTTCTCGACCTCTGCGCCGCGGCCCATGGACTGCATCAGGCCGCGCCTGGCGTTGAGGCCGAGCTTGTTGCGCTCGTTGCTGCCGCAGGCCAGCAGGGTGCCCTGCTGGGTGATGAAGATGGTGCCGTCGCCGCCGCAGCGCACGTTCTCCACCACCTGGTCGTCGGGGATGGTGACCTCCTGCGGCAGGCTGCAGTCCTCCTCGTGGCCGAGCCCCAGCTGGCCGCCCTGGCCCTGGCCCCAGCTGTACACCTCGCCGCCGCCGCCGACCACCACCACGTGGCGGCGGCCGCACGCGATCGCCGCCACGTCCACCGTCAGCAGCGACTCGACCAGCTTGGGCGTGTTGATGTTGTTCCAGTTGCCGTGGCCGAGGCAGCCGTACGTGCCGTCCCCGCACGTCATCACGATGCCGTTGTCGCTGGCGAACACGCTGAACCCTGTCGGCGGGACGCGCGGATCGCGGTTAGACACGGCACTTCAGACTGGTCTGCGAAATGCCCACAACTCATTTCTTGTCCGGGATGTCAGATACATCTCAAACCTGCACCCCGTGATAAGAATGGATTTACCGGCCGAACAAAGCATGACACATTGAAACCGTGAACTGCAAAAGAACCTCTAATGCTCTTTATATTTTATCAGATTTCCTGGTCAATACTGCGCCGGTCATCCCCTGCCACTCACAGGCCCTCGTCCACTCACCGTCCCCGGCGCAGACACGCGTGATGGACTTTGTCTTGAGCGCCACCACCAGCTCGGGTTTGGCGCGCCAGCTCTCGGTGACGCCGTGGCCCAGCTGGCCCTTCTTGCCCTCGCCCCAGGTGAACACCAGGTGCTCGGTGGTGAGCGCGATCATGTGCGTGTTGGAGACGGACACCTCCTTGATGCGCGCGCGCGGCGGCAGCGGGATCGGCAGCAGGCCGATGGACGTCTCGCTGGCCTTCATGTAGTAGAGCACGGAGCGCGGCGGTCGCGGAGACCGAGTCTTGGACGCCGGCTCGATGTTTAGGCGGACCTGCCGACGCAGCGGAGGGTCACACGGATGGAACGGTCATCAATGACAAGCTACAAAGAAAAATCGTTGCATAGCTCACATCGTCAGTGGTCAACGGTCGTTTGATTGCGATTTACAAAAGCACCATTTTACCCCTCCAGTGAGACACTGACCGCCCCTCTCTCTCCCTGTCGGACCGTCCCCAGCAGCCCCCGCCCCTCTCTTCCCTCACCTCCGTGCTCTCGTCCTCGTCGCCCTCCTCCAGTTTCTGGTAGCGGAACTGGTTGAGCAGCACCGGCAGCCGGTCGTAGAGCGTCTCGGCGGCGCTCGGACGGAAGTCCGGGTCGCGCTGCAGCAAGTCGCGCACCAGTTGACGGAACCCCGGCGAGTAGTTGCCGCGGATCGGCGCGAACTGACCCTTCATGATCTTGTGCACGAGCGCCGGCAGGTTGGAGCCCTCAAACGTCTTCTGCAGGCAGGCCATCTCGTAGAGGATGCAGCCGAGCGCCCAGACGTCCGACTTGGCGTCGTAGCGCTGTCCCTCGCACATCTCGGGGCTGATGTAATAGGGCGTGCCGAGCACCGTGTGCGCCGCGCCCTGGTGCGTCGCCATCTTCTTGGAGATGCCGAAATCGCCCACCTGCGGACAGAGCATAGTGCAGCTTGTGAAGCACGATGCTATTATATCACACCGCCATAATGCCTTCTGCACGGGTCATCGACAAACCATAGACATACCATAGAGCGGAGAGATGAGGATGATCTGCCACTGATCTGTACAGTATTGAAGACCGAGTGGCCTCTGTGCTGCGTACTGACCTTGACGACGCCCTGTTTGGTGAGGAAGATGTTGGCCGTCTTGAGGTCGCGGTGCAGCACGTTGTGCTCGTGCATGTGTCGCACGGCCGAGACGATCTGGTGGAAGATGACCAGGATGGTGCGCTCGTCGATCCGCTTGGCCTGGCTGGACAGGTACTGCGCCAGCGTGCCGCCGTCCACGTACTCCATCTCGATAAACAGCAGGCCGTCCCGCTCAAAGTTGTCGTAGTAGGCCACGATGTTGGGGTGGTCCATCATGGCCAGCACCTAGAAAGGGGACACGCGAGACGCCGTGAGGCACCGTTCATTCAGTTAAGTCGTTTCGTGGCAGACAAACTCATTTCTAGTTGTTTGTACTCAATACATCATTCTTAGAAACATGCTATCCAGGTGAAACGTCAATATTTGGTTAGGCTATTACAGTAAACAGAGTCCGGCACTCGTGTTGACCTTTGCGGGACTGTTGTCGAATTATTAATGACCGGTTCGGCGCGCTGGCCGCTGCCGACAATGGCCTGCCGGTCGGCCCCGTGTGTCAGTGCGGTGGCCTGTCGGCGGGCACCACAGTACCCGGGTTGTGCCACTCCACTGACCTCGATCTCGTTGATTGCCAGCTTGCGCTCGTCGGCCGAGAGGTCGTGCATGTTGACCTCCTTGATGACGACGAGGCTCGAGTCGTCCTTCTTCTGGTAGAGGATCGCCTGGCCGAACGCGCCCTTGCCCACCACGCGGATCCGCTCGTAGTTGGACAGGTCCTTGGCGGCGAACTTTTTCACGTTGGCAGCCTCTTTGAGGGCGATGCGCAGTGTGGCCGTGTTGAAGTAGATCTCTCCGATCTGTTCCGTGTCGAGTCGGTCTGAACGCACCTGGACGTCACTGCCGTATAGGGAGTTCCAGGTGCCCACCGGCATCTGAGGGCGGACGTCGGAGACAGGTCGCCGCATGGGCAAAGCAAAGAACATTCATAGGTCTGTTTAGCGTCTAACTAGGACGGTCTGACGAATTGTCATGTTTATTGAACTCGTGTCCATTACGCTATCGATTAAGTGAACTACTCGTTTGGGCGACTGATATTTTGTGACTGACTGATAGGTCGTCTACCATAGCGGTAGCACATCAGCAGAAGTTTAAGTGGCAATGTTGATGGGCCTGTGTGGAGGGAAGAGGCAAGTCTCTGGCTGCCACCCGGCTCACCTGCAGCAGCGACTCGAGCTGGCGCGCGATGAAGCCGCCGTCGTAGAGCGGCGACACGCGCGCGTCCAGAAAGTCGAGCCGCGCCGCCGGGCCGGGCTCGATGAACCGGCCCAGGCCGGACATGAGGTCGCGCACGGCGGCGTCCTCGGTGCACGACTCGGCTGTCAGCGTCAGCTCGCCGGGCTGGCAGAGGAACAGCTCGCTGTCGGAGCCGTGCAGCACGCAGGCCAGCGAGGCGGCGCGGCCGCCGCCCAGCGCACCCTCCACCAGACTGAGCACGTCCGCTGCCGTGCTCAGCTCGAAGCTGTAGCGGACGGCCAGCACGCCGGGCGCCGTGCAGCTGCTGACCTGCTGGGCGTACCGGTACCGGCTGGAGACGAGCAGCAGGCGCCGCGGCGGGCCGCTCGACAGCACCATGGCGGCCGCGGGCCGAGGAGTTCAGTCAGCTACTCACACACACACACACGGCGCTAACTCACTCGGTCACCGGTCTGGAGCCCCTCCGACACAGGTGTCACTCTGCCCTGGAGCTCCCCCACCCCAGCGGTACTGCCGACCGTCCCCGTCCGACGGTCCGACTGGCGACTGCGGTGGTCCGCCGGTGACCGCTCACGGCATTCGGCAATCGATGGCCGCCGCTCGGTAATGGCCACAAAGGCGGCACGTAGCCGGGCGGCCAGCGCGTCACGACACCCATCGACCGGCCCCGGGTGGACCCCGTTCACCGGCGGCGCAGCCGTCCTCGGCCCGGCAGAGGCGGCCCAGGCAGTGCAAAAAAAAAACCCGCGCAACAATAACGAAATTTGAACTTCAGCTATCTATCATGGCTATCGTTTATGACTCTTCAGGTGCACCTTGCATGGAACATCAACGCGTTTGAAGTTCTGATTGATTCGTTAGAATGAGTTGAAAGCAGCAATGGCATCGACGCATCAATAAACGAATGCGTTGGCCGAAACTGATGAACAGGTCATCGTAGGAATGCTACATAATTTTTCACTCTTCAGCAGTTATCATAGTCGCCGATTACGGATGTTTGTCCCGGTAGGCTCAGCCGGGCTCGACCTCAAGTCTCAACCCTTCTGGCTGCCGCTGGTGGAATAAGATGGTTACTTGTCTGCCCCGGAGATGACACTAGTAGTAAACGCCTGCAGTTAGACTATACCGCATGACGTACGTCTGTGAAGGGAGAATGAGGCCATATTACTGCCAAATAAGGGCGAATGCTGCGCTTTGAAAACGATACCAACGCAGTCGTGTTAAAAAAAAAAAATTGTCGTAGTTATTGGACTGAACCACTGCAAGGCACTGAAAGTGACCATCCCACCTTAACATTAGTTTTGAGTTGAGATAGCCAAATTGGTGGCCATGGCCTGAAAATACCGGTTTGGGCACTCACAACATCGAAAAATGCTTTAATTCGGAGATATGGAATTTCAAACTTGCAGTTTTTGGATTCTAAGGGGCTAATGCATTGGTATGCCCCCTTAGAATTTGTGACGTCAGCCGAGGTCTAACGATTTTTAAATCTTTTACTAAAACGTTTGGCAGCACGCGGTGGTATATGCTGCTTTGCGCGCAACAAATGCCGCACTTCTAAATAAAGTCGTTAGGAACAGCGGAGATCCCAAAAAGTAAACAAAAGTAAAAGTCCAATATCTTGAAAACCGGTGAATATTTTTCGATGAAATTTGGTAGATATTCGTTTTCGCTCTTTCTGAACCGAGCGACATTACTTTCATGCCAATTTATAAACTTTTATGAAGGTGGGAGGGTCCCTTGAACTCTAATTGTAATGTTCATAAGTACTATAACTATATAACTATATAGTGTTATTGTTATTAGCGTAAATATTTTTAAGCACTTATCAGGCTCGTCGACATTTTGGATGGGATTTTGTGTCGATGAAATTCAACATATTTGCAGGAAATTGATATTGTGCTACAATATACACTGTGGTGCTACGGTGAAAATAACAAAGAAAGAAAGAATATGTTAAGCTGAAAGAGGAGGTGATTTCATCCAGATGCGGTGGTTTACTTCTTAAAATTATTTTTGTTTATGACGACCGCCATGTAATGACGGATGATGCGAGGCCGTCAATAAGCAGCAAAAATAATTTCAAGAAGTAAATCACCGCATCTGGATAAAATGACATTCTCTCTCAACTTATCGTATTATTTTTTCATCAACATCATATTTTCGATCAATATCAATCATTTACAACACAAGCTCCTGATTGAAAACATACATGGAGCCTATATTTTGCTTTTGATTATACTTTTGACTTGTGCTCATATGTGCATATTGTTTGCACTCAGCACAGTTCCTCATTTATTGATTGCAAGCAATCTGACGTGCTAATTCAGATTTTTGACAAATTTATGCTTCTGAAATTGTGATGATGGGCGAGGATGACCACTGTAGTCCGGGCGCCCAAAAACCCCAATTCATCATCATCATCAAATTGTGATGTGTGCAGACCTAACCTACCTTCATATTTTCAGGACTGGTTGAAAATAAGAGTCAAGGCAAGTACTTTGCGGTCTGTGCATAAACAGCTCCATCATTTTTTGACAGTGTACTTAATTAGAAATCAGGATGGCACAAACAAGATTGGAGAAAATAGGAACAATATTCACAAGGTATGGTAAGACCATAAATCTGATTTCATTATTACTAAATCTTAGGGCTTTGTGATCCCAAACCAGTCCAAACCAAGCACTTCATCAAAAGTTCTAAACATATTGAAGTTTTTAGTTTCAGAAGTCACCCAAGCTTGGGCTACCAACTAAGTGAGGCAGTGTCCTTACGGTCTTACCCACAAAGCAGTATTATTATGTTTCTGTTTTGAATCATTGCCATCCCTAATAAGTAGTTTCAACAGCATTCATTGATTCATGAAGATACTAGCAAGTGCTGAGAATGCTCACGTCCGCCACTGTGTTCATGTTCCAGAGTATCAGGGCTGATCAGGTCTGGCTCACTGAATGCGAACGATCGGCCGCTCTGGTACGACATCTACGAGGCATTTCCACCCCGGCTGGAGCCCCGTTTCGACCGGCCGATCAAAGTGAAGCCTGTGCAGCCCATTTTCTACCAGGAGGACTCTGTGCGGGCGTGAGTATTGTTACCAGGGATGCGGAGCCGGAGCCGGAGCCGGCATATTTTGCCCGGAGCCGGAGCCGGAGCCGGAGCCGTGAAACAATGTAGCCCGGAGCCGGAGCCGTCAAAAAAGGGGGCGACTCCGGCTCCTTTTCTTAAGAGGAAACAATTATTTACCTGGTTCGGTTTGACAGTACAAGGCGTAAAACAATGTGGTATTCAAAATAGCCTTGTTATACAAATACAGAAGCAACGTGCACCAATCCCATCGCCTTTTTTCTTCCACCCGTATTTAATTGATCGCATAGGGGATGTACTTAGAAGAAGCCGGAGCCGGAGCCGCCGGAGCCGGATCATTTTACTCGGAGCCGGAGCCGGAGCCGGAGCCGCCATGACATTTCACCCGGAGCCGGAGCCGATTTTTTTCTCCGGAGCCGGAGCCGTCTGAAATTTCCACGGCTCCGCATCCCTGATTGTTACCATTTTGTATCTCTCTGAATGTTGTTTGGGTGTACCACCACTTAGCTAATTCTTCCTGGGTTGTTTCGGGTGTTTTGCTGTGTGTTCCTTTACCTTTAATAAAGTAGACAGTTGTGTCATTTTGAAGCGGTTTTGAGTGTCTGCCGGTAAGTTGCACCTTTACCGTTCGGACGCTGACAGACGCCCGTGTTTGTTGCGCCTGGCAGACGTTTCCAGCAGGAGTATGGGTCGCCGGGTACGTTGCAGCTGCGCCGGTCGCCGGCCGCCCGACCGGCCTCCATCTGCGACCAGTTCGTGGCGCAGTTCGAGGCGCTGCGGGGCGTGTCGCCGCAGCTCTCCGAGCAGGAGCTGTTCGAGGCGGCCGCCGACGCGCTGCGGGCCTCCGGAGTGACCCTGCGCCGCGCGGGCGCCGGCCCGGAGCCGCGGGCCGCCTCCGCCGAGGGCGAGACCGACCCAGCGCCCGCCGCCGCTACTGCTGCTGCGTCCGAGAAGGAGCTGCTCAGGGTTGCCGACCTCTTCGACGAGCAGAAACCAACAGAGAAAAGATAACGTGCTATATGTAGGACAATGTTCAATGTGGTATTCTTGAACTGTGTTTTTGTGGATTCTGGTAAATACATGTGAGAAAAAGTGTTATGTCAATCCCTAGTTATATCAATGTCAATCAATCAATCCCTAGTTATGGCAGATCATTGTCATCAGATTCCTTCTGCCCACCTACTTTTCCTGCACGTGTCGTTCTGTTACATTTTTGACCAGCACATATGGCAGGTGTGTTTTCTAAATATTAACTAAGCATATCAATGGCTACACCAGACCCAGCCTGACCAGCCAGTCACTGTTTCTCCACCTTAATTAGTGACTTCCCTGCTGGCCTGGGTCAATAAGATGCATTCTCTGATAGACAACGTTGGCAACTAAGACCTACAATTAACAATAAGATGACTAAAGGTCAATTGGTGCATGCTGCAAGTAAATGGACCAGTGATCATGCATACAGCCTCCAGTCCAACACACTCAGCTTAAAAAGAGAGTCACAGTTAAGCTTCTGGCCATGTTCTATTGTTGTTTGCTTGGATTCCCCTTTAAACTTCAACTACTGTGGATATCCAACAGAAAGAAAAACATATGCCGCAGTTGATATATTTAAACACGTCTTCAATGACAGTGGACAGGACTTTCTCCCCTTCAAAGAAAACAACCAATGTTGTGCTCAGGCGGGCTTGATCACAAGCACAAACTTGATGTCCACAAGTTGCAAGTACACAAAAATACCACTGTCCTCAACCCTTGGCACATTGTGCACCAGTTGAGCCTTAGCACTACTTTGGAGCGCCATATGCATCTGGCATTTGTTCCACTGTGTACTTGTGCTGAGTGATGAACATGATTGGCACTCCTGGGATCTTTCTGATTCTCCTCTTAAGGTCTTTGTCACAGGTGGCCACTATATAACACTTGTGCTGTGTCACTCTGTTCACTAGGCAGTCATCTGCATATGTTCCCTTGTGAATGCAGGGCAGCCGCTCAATCCGAGGATCCTTGACAATCTTCATTGCAAGGCGGTACTTCTGTCCCAACTTTTCAAGTTCAGCAAGAACACAATCCGTGAGGTATGGAATGCACTTGGCGTACATGCAATCCATCATTCCCTGAACAATATCCAGCTTGTTCTTGATGGAAAAGTTGATGAAGTTTGTGTCGAGCAGCACATGATAGGGTGGGCCTAGTTGAGTGTTGTACTCAAAGAACATTGCAGTCGACATCTGGGGAGTTTTGCTGATTTTTGGTTTAGTCAGATCAATCTTGGTCTTCCGCTTTGTGCGGTCCTTATCCTTGATTCTTGAGTCGTGCTGAGTAATCATCTTCTTCATGACAGCAAACTTCTGACGGGCTTGCTGCTTTTTCTTGGCTTTACCCATGATCTTTAGTGTTTCCGATCACTTCTTGAAGACGCTCGGTACCTTGACGTTTCACAATATTCAGGGGTCTTCAAAATAACTAATTTGAATGACAAAACCAACAAGACCCAAGATACCCCCTGACAGGGTATGTGAAAGACCTGCCCCTTGGACTCCGATTCACCCCAATCCAGGGCGTTGTTGCCTGGTTGTTGCAGGCAAAGTGTAAGGCTGGGCAAGAGCACGGCAAGAGACTGGGAAACACTGCCAGATGAGTATATAGGGCCTTGGCCAGATGCAAGGCAGGGGCTCAAGAAACCAACTGACACGCGGGCGCTCCGAGTGCGTTGACCACGCGTATAAATTTTGTTGTGTTCATTCTGAATCGTTTCGATATCCGTGAGCGGAGTAACCGGGAGTATCTTCACTATTTTCTGCGATTTTGCATTTATTGGGGGCTTTGCGACTGAAGATCTCACAGATACATCGAAATTGCTAAATTGAAAGTTAAAAAATAACAATATCGAATAAGTATTCCGTCTCGAAACTAGAACTTATGATATATATTTTTCTTGAGTGCACATCAACAATTGCTACTGAATACGATAATAAATGCATTTTTTGTAGCAGGCGCGCAGAATTTGTCGACTTAACTAAAATGCTGCAGAATGCTGCAGGCAGACACCAAAGTTATGCCACGGTAGCCCCCCCGAGTAGTAAAGTAATCTTGGCCCCCCCCCCCCAATCATCCACCAATAGCAAGTATATTGCATTTCATGCACGACCCCGGTAGATGGTGCCGGCAGTTGATACGCATCCAGACGTACCTACCCAAATTGCTTTGAATCATTGTTGTTCGCCAAGCTGCAATTCAGCGAATTTAGCCTCAGCCTTTTGCCAGGCTGGGGACATGCAAACAATCATTAGGCCTCTACACAGGGGCACGGGAACTACTTTCAGACTGGGGGGTGCACACTATAATAGAGATCAATCTAGGGTACCCCTAAATCTAGTCTCTTTTTAGGCCACTCTTTTTTCATCCCTTTACTTAAAAAAAAGAAGAAAACATTTCCCCCTACGGCCCTAGAGTTGGGGAACAAGCTGCCCCCACTGCCCCTCCCCCGGTTCCCGCGCCTATGCGTCTACAAAACACACACCACTCGATTTCAGACATTTAAGATGATAGCAAAGATAACTGCAGCAATGTGAAAATATACGAGCATAATACTTAAAATTAAGCCCTTTATTATCAACACGAACGACGGCATGACCGGTATAAAACGGGTATAAAACAGAGGAGCTATTCCAAATAAAATGGAGCAGCGTAACCAAAACTTGCGGTGCATTACATTCGAAGGGCATTGCGTTGGCCTACTACGAATGCGGTACCGCCACATAAGCTCGCGACCGTTCACAGAGCACAGTTGGGAAGAGTCTGCGAGATACCGCCACCTCGCACACAGGCACAGCGCATCTAATACTTTGTTGACACCTTCAACGACAATCAGCACACCTAGTGGAGCGAACCCATTAGAACAGCGACTTTCTTTGGCAGGAACACATAATGAAACAGTCATCGCGTTCCAAGACGCCGGACAGACGTGGGTCGCACTCGCCGTCTATCACACGCCCTACAACTGCCCACCGGTCCCTACGGAACAGCTGGCCTCCAGTGATCCAAACACGCGATACATGAACACAGCATTACACACCGTACATGGTACAGAATCCACTATATGCAAAAAGAATCGCTGGACTGCGAGAAAATAGGGCAGCACAATATTTGTCCGTTAAAAAAAAAAGTGAACGATATACCGAAATAACCCAACGAAAAGTCACACCCATTGCTGGAGAATACACCAAGTTCGCCAAAACTACACACTCGCAAATGGCGATTACATTTACAGATTTCCAGGTACAAACGTTACATCCACGAAAAAGGTATAATGGCATTCTATGTGCGACAAGAAGCTGACATCAATCATGACTCGGTAGGAAGCAACATGACTCTGGCTAGAAGCGCAAAAAATAGACAATATAATATGTACCCTGTCGACCACGGCTCTGAACGGAGATCTCACACTCCTAACAGACATTGTTGGTTTCCTAGCACAGCTCTGATAAAGCGCTCCGGGTTATCCGTCCCCAGTCCCACCCACATCCGTCAGCCGTCAGCCACCTGAGGTCAGCCACCTGAGGTCAGCCGTCCGTGCGTCCCCCAGCATCCCGAAGGAGCAGTCGCGCAGGGAGTCCGGTCGTCCCCGGTACGTCTCACAGCCGCGTCTAGCCGTCCGCGGTGCCACCGGCCGCGGACAGGTCCTGGCACAGTCGCACCTCCGGCATCTCCTCTGCCAGCGCGTCCAGAATCTCCAGCAGAAGCTCCCGGCTCAGACTGCGCATGCGCGGCAGCCGCGCAACCTGTCCACACGGGGAGGTAGGCCTCAGACATTGGCACGAGGAACCGACACCAGGAATATTGACAATTGTACAACGATGGAGGTTCGCTGGAGTCAGCTGGACATTATACGCCCTAGGCAGTTAGGCACACATCGGCACATGACTACATATTTTATGACAGCTGGTCTCCACTAATCGACTGGTACGATTCAGATGCCAAAAATGGCTGGAAACCATCGCCATTACACACATATACAAACCGTCACCATACACACCGAGCCCACGGGTGACCGACCGGTCGGGGCGGGGGCGGGGCCGTCAGAGAGGCGACTGACTCACCTTGTTGAAGCTGTGCACGATCAGGCTGAGCGCGTACTTCTTCATGTCGTGCGCCTGGATGCGCTCGGCCGCCTCCAGGATCTGGATCACGTTATCAGAGGTGACGTTCATCTCCAGGTTCTGCTTGCAAAACGCCTGGCAACGAGCAGAAGATAACGAGCGATGCGTTACCTGTCTGTGACCGAGATGGGGATAACGTCCAACATATGAACGAGAGGGGGGTAGGGTAACGTATAGCGTGTTACGGCATGCCAGTGATACATATGTAGACGCAATAATATCGTGGCCAGGTTTCGTCAGATAAAATCCATACTACCGAGCTAGGTGTTGGATATAGTCGCAGCCCTTATGGGTCGCCCGGGGACCCGCCTGCGGCCGAGTGAGCATCTCACCTGGAGCCGGTTGTTGGTGAAGCCGTAGAAGCTAGGCGCGGAGAACAGGTAGAGCGAGTCCTCTGGCGGCATCCCCGTCTCGCCGTAGTAAATGTAGCGCAGCAGTGAGTCGAATGCCTGCCGCGAGGGCACGCAGTCGCCGATAGAGATCTGAAACGCGCCGCCCGCCAAACTACGTGTCAGGCTGCTGTGTGGGAGGCGAACTTCCCACATCGGACGATGAACGATTTGTCCCCGCATGGTACAGCTGTACCGCTGCTGGTTGTGGACTCATTCATCGTCATTGCTGGAATTAGGGGACCAGAACATGTAAATTATGTAGGTATTTCATGAATTTTGGTTGATGAAGATTGTTAAAGTGACCATCCCACCTTAACATTAGCTTTGAGTTGAGATAGCCAAATTGGTGGCCATGGCCTGAAAATACCGGTTTGGGCACTCACAACATCGAAAAATGCTTTAATTCGGAGACATGGAATTTCAAACTTGCAGTTTTCGGATTCTAAGGGGCTAATGCATTGGCATGCCCCCTTAGAATTTGTGACGTCAGCGCAGATCTAACGATTTTAAACCTTTTACTAAAACGTTTGGTAGCACGCGGTGGTATATGCCGCTTTGCGCGCAACAAGTGCCGCACTTTCAAATAAAGTCGCTAGGAACAGCGGAGATCCCAAAAAGTAAACAAATGTAAAAGTCTAATATCTTGAAAAACGGTGAATATTTTTCGATGAAATTTGGTAGATCCTCGTTTTCGCTCTTTCTGAACCGAGCGATTTCACTTTCATGGCAATTCATTAACTTTTTGAAGGTGGGAGGGTCCCTTTAAGGCAGCTGATCTCTCTTTTGTGGTGCAATTTAAAACACATTTCCGTCTTCAACGTGATGTGCTCTAAATGATCTGAACACACCAGGCCCATGGCCATATCCTACATATCCTACATATCCATATCCTACTTCTACATATCCGGCCCAGCATCTAATGTCATAGCTCTCTCAGTGGCGGGCGCTAGCAAGCTGGACCACGCCGTCTCTGATATAATGGAGCTGTCCCATCGGCGGGCGCTACCAACGCCGTCTCTGCTGTCAGAGCGCTCTCCAGTGGGCCGGCGGCCTACCCACCTGGACGACGCCGTCCTCGGGCATGAAGGAGCGGAACATGGCCTCGAAGTAGGAGCAGCGCGCCGCCAGGATGGGCTTGTGCGCCGAGATGTGCTGTCCGTCCAGCACCAGGGTGATGTCGCAGAACTCTGCGCCCGAGGTGCGCAGGAAGGTCGCCATGTCCTGCAGCAGCGTGGTACCTGCCGAGCGACGCGGGCGTCAGGGTGCTGGACAGGCCTCGTGTCCGAATAGCTAGCGACAAAACAGCTAGTGTCATTTGAGCTAGTGCTACAAAAGAGCTAGTGATGTAAAAGCTGATGTTAAAATAGCTAGTAACTTATAAGAGCTAGTCCCAAGGAGAGCTAGTGGCGCAAAGAGCTTTGAAGATACCTGTCAGGGCTGCGGAGTCGGAGTCGGAGTCGGAGTCGGAGTCGGAGTCGGTCGGAGTCGACAGTTGTGGCCGGAGTCGGAGTCGGAGTCGGAGTCGATATTGGAAACCCCAGCCGGAGTCGGAGTCGGAGTCACCGAAAATCTGGCGACTCCGCAGCCCTGCCAGGTGTGCGGAGTCGGAGTCGGGAGTTGGAGTCGATCGGAGTCGACATTTCTGCCCGGAGTCGGAGTCGGAGTCGGAGTTGGTTTTTGAAAGCCGGAGTCGGAGTCGGAGTCGGAGTCGCCGTAAATCCATCGACTCCGCAGCCCTGATACCTGTTACAATTATTTTGAAGATACATTGGGAGGCAGGGACGGAGGGGGTAGAGGAGAGCACAAATATTTCGGAAAAGACATGTGGAATGTCAGGATTCGCACCGAAGAGGGAATGCCGAGGACCAACAACAAAATTGAAGGGTGGCACAGGGCAATCCAAGGAATGGTGGACTCGCCACACCCGTCACTTTGGCGTTTTCTGGTCGCGATTCAAAAAGAAGAAGCGCTGCAAGCTGCCGAACTTTACAAATTCAAAGCAGGAAACGAAGTTCAAAAACAAGAGAGAAACTATGCAGATATAAATAAACGAATTTAAGGCCCTCATTCGCCGTCTCACAGAAGACAACATAGACACTAGACAGGCAGGAGTTTCTTCGCGGAGTTGCATCCACATTTCGATGAACGTTTGAGAATAAAATCTGAGTCGTATGTTTCAGTCTTTTTCAATATTACGACCTTTTTAGTGACCGATCTGATCTGAACTGAACTTTGCTTATAAAATCCCAAAGAGGTACGGCGTGAGCCGATCTACTAGCCCTTTATAACACTAGTCATTTTGCTCCTAGCTGCTTTGTAGGACTAGTTACAATCGCACTAGCCATTTTGTGGCACTAGCCCAAATGAGCTAGCTCAAACAACACTAGCTCTTTTGTGGCAAGCCCATTCGTATGGGAATCGCTGGACACCCAGATACACGAGCACACACCGGGAGAGCTCATATGGTTGGTACTCAAGATGCCACTCTGAAGTTTGTAATGTCGAGACACACGTTCTTTGCAAGTGAGCAGCTGAGGCTGAGAACCTCTTTAGACGTATGTCTTTTATAGGAGCAACGCCATTAAACGGATAGAAAAAGTGCAGCAAAGGAGAGTGCAAGATTATAAGATACTTATCTTACGGTAACAATGAACGCTTTCCGCATACCTACGGTAGATCTAACTACTTCCCGCTACCAGCCAATGCCAGTTGACTGACCGGTACACTTTCCGGCGTGGTCGAACTGCGGGTCGGCCAGCGGCCGGGCGGCGGGCAGCTGGCGGCGCCGAACGATCTCCACCATCAGCGGCTGCGCCAGCGACTCGAACTCGCTGCTCATCACGATCTCCGTGTAGTTGGTCTCCTTGACGATAAACCTGCCGGACGGCCCGGGTGTCAGCCGAGATCACCGGTCCCCACCGCCATACTGGTGCGGAGCGTCAGCTGGTGGACTGTGTCCCGCCCCGGCCGGCCGCCGTCGGCACACACCTCAGACAGAACTCCTTGATGTAGTTGAGCTGCAGCGAGCTGGCGTTCTCGAGCGCGACCAGCACGTTGCGCTGGTTGATGGCCGCCTCCAGGTACTGGACGCACAGCTGGACCAGCCGGCACATGTCAAACTGAAAACAAAAACTGAACGATAATGAACCGCTGGACCATCCGGCACATGTCAAACTGAAAACAAACAACACGAAAATGAACCGCCGGACCAGCCGGCACATGTCAAACTGAAAACAAACAACAACACGAACATGAATCGCTGGACCAGCCGGCACATGTCAAACTGAAAACAAACAACACGAAAATCAAAAGGGATGCTTCAAGCTGCTGCCTGCACAACTGAGATGTAGGTCAGATGCAGTGTTTTATTTTAATTCAAGTGATTGCCGTAAATTTAAATCAAATAACATAGGCGACCGAAGGTTTGCTGATCAGGACACCAGACTGCTGCGCAAAGGCTCAGCGCTAGGTGAGAGACTGAGAGATGTCACGGAAACAGTACTACTCGACACACCCGGTCACACGCCTCCCCTCAGTGTACCGCGGAGACCCGCACCGCCGCGTGCCCACCTGCAGCGAGAGGCGGTACACGTCCATCATGAGCGGCACGATGCGGCCGCTCTCCCGGTCGCCCAGCGTCCGCTTGGTCGGGTCGATCTTATCCGTGTAGATGTAGTCGAGCACCAGCTGGAACGGCTCCGGCGCCGCGTCCGGCAGGGGCACCTCCAGCAGAGGGGTGTCCCGGTACGGAATGGTGGCCGTACCAAACACCTGTCAATCACACAGGCCACACGGGTCAGAAGGGATCAGGTCACAGGGGCACCTCCAGCAGAGGGGTGTCCCGGTACGGAATGGTAGCCGTACCAAACACCTGTCGGGTCACAGAGGTCACACGGGTCAGACGAGATCAGGTCACAGGGGCACCTCCAGCAGAGCTGGGGTGTCCCGGTACGGGATAGTGGCCGTCCCAAACACCTGTCCCGTCATATAGCGCGGGACGGGTGTGAAGGGAGGTCAGAAATCCGTCCACCGGGGGTCAGTGTGGTGCCTTCACTGGCGGCTGGCGGATATGCAGCCGAACATCCGTGCCTTTCGTCAATACTTCTTCATCGATCCGAACTTCCACAACTGAACTCTATTCTCTAAGCGCGTATCTCGCTGCCTGATGCCTAATACGGCCCCACCAGCCCGCCGCCCAGACTGTGTGGTCGTCAGTCGTCATACACACTCACCTGTTCCAGATGCCTGGCGCGCGCCTCGGCCGCCTGGCGCACCTTGGCGCGCAAATGGTGTCCGCGCGCCGCCACCATGGCCACGTGCGCCGGTACGCGCGTCTCCTGCGGCCCCACCACGAACTCGACGTCGCACAGCTGGCGGGACTCGAGCAGCTTGCCGAAGTCGTCGTGCAGCGTACACTTTGGATACGCCGAGAACTGGAGGCGGAGAACATTGGACGATGGTCAGCCGAGCGAGAGGCATGGGGGAAACGGGAACGAGCCAGTGGAAACCCAGACCATATGCATTGCATTGCAAACGCGGAGACCTTTCGAAGTGACCCTCATAACGACGAAGTGTAAACGTTAACTACTGAAAGACTGCAGTGGGTTTATCTGGTACTTCAGGGTAACTTTCTATGCGTCGAATGACTCACTACGCACATTCAAATATACCAAATACTGGTGCATCCGCTCGCGACCGGGAATCGGTACATCCGGCCGCCGCTCACCTGGAACCGGTACATTTCGCCGCTGCGCACGTTGTTGTCCACGGTGCCGCCGAAAATGTACATGGCGTCGTGGACGACGGCGGCCGCGTGAAAGAGACGCCCGGAGGGCAGCTGGGAGTCGGCCGACGGCACCACCGTCGACCACGTCTGCGTGTCCAGGTCGAAACTGAAACGGAAGAGGCAGAGCAATCCAATAGCCAGCGTACGTATCAACCAGACGATCCGCACTATCCGTTCCGGCCGAGTAACTACAGCTGAATCGGTCCCAGAACAACACCACAGCCCCAGGCCAAGGCCGCATCATCTCCAGACCATCCCCCGACCAGCGGCTCCCCCGCCCCGCGCCCCGGTTCCGACCCGGTTGGTCGGCGGTGCGCGCGGCCGTACGTACCAGTGCAGGTCGTTTGGCAGCGTGGAGTCCGCGGCGCCGCCCACCACGTACAGGTGCCGGTCGTAGGCCACCATCGTGTGGCCGTAGCGGCGGGTGGGCGCCGGAGGGGCGCCGCGCAGGATGTGGTCCGTCGAGATCCGGCTCCAGCTGTCCGCACAGAGTGACACGGGGGTCAGCGGAGCCAGGTGCAGGATAGGGGTCACAGAGGCACAGAAGTGCAATAGAACAGAAAGATGCGGCCAGAGGTCAGAATCATATCCTTGTCGCAACATCGCATTGAGAGTACAACGTTATGAAAAAATGCGTAAATTCTTAGTAAGGACACACACTGAAAATTTCAAATCGAAACATTGTGCACAAGTTTTAAATGTTTGAATTAGGAACCATAGTGGATTCGATTTTTAGACACCATCCCTAGCCTGGGCGGATCGTCAGCGCCGCCTTGGAGTGACCTACACCTGGTCGATGAGGTTGAACTGGAAGAGCGAGTTGGTGATGCGCGCGCCCGAGTGGCCGCTGAACACGAACATGGAGTCGCGCGCCACGGCCATGGGGAAGTTGCAGCAGGTGGGCGGACACTCGCCGTGCTGTTTGACCTCCTCCCAGACGTGCGTGTCGCCCTGGCGGGAGGCGCGGACGGTCAGACACCGGTCACAGGACAGTTCGGCACAGCCGCGGCGGCACGGTAGTGAGCCGAACCAGATACACACTGAGACCAGCCACCATCCAAACGACATCGATTGAGACACTGGGAATGGACACGATCCTGCCACTTATACTGACATCGTGACGTCACAATAAGACGACGACGTTCCGGACCCGATTCTCCCTGCATCACTACGGTTAGTATTAGTATTATACCCTATTTCATCCTCAACCCTGTAATCTGCCATTTCTATTGCGATTCTGAATGGTCCTCAACATAAGCTCCCTCAACTGAATATCGAATGAACCGAATATGTGCACGCTCTTGTGTCCGCTTTAGTTCGTATTTAGCGGCCCCACAGTACTCTCTAACCACTCCTGGCGTCCTCTCACCGTCAGCGACATGGTCCACATGTCGTCCAGCCGGGCGTTGCCGTCGTAGCCGGCGAAGATCCACAGTTTGTTGTCGTAGACGGCGGCACCGTGCGCGGACCGGGCCACGGGCGCTCTGCGGCACACGGCGGGACAGAGGTCACGGCGAGACGCTAGCAGGCAAATGAAACTCCGAGGCACGGGCTCCGCGAAGCGAGCTGGGAGTGGGAGTCGGCAAATATACACTTACATTGACACTAAATTTCACCTTTAAATTTTAAAGTGATTAAATGCCGAAATACCTACAATTGAGTGAACCACCATTAGACGCAGCGCAATGTTTTCATAGATGCGCCAGACATCTGACCTGAGTAGACAAAAACTTTTTCTACCTTCGAAAGCACCAATAAACTCAGAGAGGCGATGCCAGTCGGACGGCGCGCAGGCTTACGTACCGTCCCGTGAACTTCCATTCGACCCACTGCTCCGAGTTGAACTTGTACTCGAAGAGATCGTTCCTGTTCCGGAGATTCGAGTTGGAGTGGATGTCGCCCGTATAGCCACCGAAAATTATCATCGACGAACCGTACAACTGAAACAAAATCACATCGTCTAGTTGCGACATAAACAAGCATTGCAATTGATGCGCTAGGTTATGGCACCAAACATTATACATGACAGCGCAATATCGCTGACAAATAATTACTGATCGATCGTACCAAAAGAACCCCAAAACGAATTAGAAACCAAAACTCATGAAGCCTTTTGCTATAAGCCTAATGTACTGTAGGGCAGCTTTACTCGTATGTAATCAACGGCATTCTCTGGATGTGTCACGGAGGGCCCGTGGGTGCTGGGTCGCGGGCTGCGGCACGGCGGCTCACCACGGCCGAGTGGTGATAACGTCGCGCCGGCGGAGTGCCGTTGAACGCGCACTTGGCCCACGACTTCTCCTTGACATCGAAGCGCAACAGGTCGTTGAGCATGGTGCGCCCGTTGTCGCCACCGAACACGTAGATGCCGTCCTTGTACGCCACCACAGTGTGCTTGCTGCGCCTACGAGAACAGGGGTAACGGCCGGTAAGTCTTTGCATCGTTCGGAGTAGCTGGCAGTCAAAAAAGCACGTCGCAAATGCCAATCTAAAAGCTAAGCTACATACATAGTTATAAAAACGCATTATAACTATCCTTCAAGTAGCTCACCTGTCTCCAACAAACTTGTACAGCTCTGGCATTTTGCGCCAGCGATGGACCGTCTCAAATGGGCCAAAATCGAGTGTGAGACAGTCAGCTGACTCTGGCCAGACTGTGTCCGAGGGACGGCCCGACTTCCGTGAAAAGGCCATCGCTGCCCGATGAAGCCTGCTCTCTTGCAAACGGGCAGCTCAGAAGTAATTAGCAACAACTGGTCTCACCTGTGGATAACCATAGAATGCCCTTGAATTCTCATTTGGCAAACATTAATTATATTAAATATGGTAACTACATACTTGGTAGGAGGGGTCAGGGTGGAAGGTGGTGCTGCCAATGGCCGATGGGCGCACGCCTCACAGGGTGTCCGGAAACTGGAAAGTCCCCCCCCCGCTCCTCTTGGAACTGGAGGCCGTCTAAAGAGTGCTGTGATTCGTGGACAATCAGCTAAGCACTACAGGCATGACCCCTCGTTGATCTCTTCAAGCCGAGTACACCCTTCCCCCGGAATGGCAGGCTGGACGCCCTATTCGTGGAGTCCAAGCAAGTCATCATTGACGCAATCACGGAAGGCGTTCGAATCCTCGATACTTCGAGACCAACCTGCCTGGCAACTGACTGGTCCAAAACAGGCATTGGTTTCTGGCTCTTCCAGAAGCACTGTGAGTGCCCGGGTGACCAAACGTTCTGCTGCATGAGTGGCTGAAAGATCACTTTGATCGGAAGTTCGGAACCCGCTTCACAAGCGCGGCAGAATCGAGATACAAGCCCATCGAAGGGGAGGCTCTGGCAGTGGCCGAAGGTCTGGACGGACAAGGCTCGCTTCTTCATACTGGGGTGCGACAAACTCACCGTGGCTGTGGACCGCAAATCCCTCCTCAAGATACCCAGTGACAGGTTCCTAGAAGCCATCCCTAATGCACGACTCCACAACCTCAAAGAGGAGAGAAGACGCTGCGCTACAGGTTCACAAGGTGGTATACATTCCAGGCTCCAAAAGCAAGGCAGCGAACTAGGCCTCACGGTACCCGAGTGGTCCGACATAGGCGAATGCTTTGACACTCCCGGACGACTCAGCAGTGCTCACAACACACGAAGCTCACCCTCCAAGTCCGCTGCGCCCCTGCTGGTCGGCACTCGTAAGGAGAACAGCGATACTGATCGCAGCGTGGACTCCGCCATCCAAGAAGCCGCCAACGGTGGTTTGACCTATGCAGCGGTGACATGGAATCGAGTCAAAGTCTTGACGGCGAGCGACCGTGACATGCAGCTGCTCGCACAGCTAGTTGAAGAGGGCAATATGCCGGAACACAAGGAGGAGTTGCCTGATAGCCTGAAGCCCTATCACCGGTTCAAGGACGAGCTCATACCGCCCGACGGAGTCATCCTGTACACTGTACAGCCCTCAGCAGACTGCGTGGTAGGTATTCTTTTTTTTCGACAAAACCGGTAATAACTCAAAGACTATGTTATCAGTCGGTCGGAACTCACTGCAAGTAGAGGCGCCATGCTCCACTCCTTCCATTAGGTCTATCTAGGAGTGGCGCCATGCTCCACTCCTTCCATCCTAGGTAACAAAGTATACGCCTTGTGTGGCAACAAAATGCAAAAGTTTGTTTTCGGGGCAAATATATACTTTTGGGTTTTGTTGCCGAACTAGATGGAAAATGAATACGGTAATGATGCCAATCTAAGGTGCGGAGTCTCGTGCGTCTTGCTGTTACGATTTCCGAATGACCAGTAGCATAGTATTCGCGTTATTCTCGTTTTTGTCGAAAAAAGAATACCTACCACGCAGTTTGCAGAGGGCTGTACAAGGAGCGCATCGTCCTCCCTCCAAAGCTCCGCCCAGCCGTTCTTGCTGCGCTCCATGCTGCTCACCAGGGCGTTCAGGCAATGATAGTAAGAGCCGACGCCCGACAGTTCTCTATTTCGGCCTGGGATCACTGCTGTTATCCAGGACACACAAGCTCCCTCCCAGTAAAAAATACCATTTGAAACCATTAGGATTTACCAATTGGTTTCAAATGTGTCAAATGGTTTGAAATAGGTTCTAATGGTTTTCATGACCATTTGAAATGGTTTCCAATTGGTTTTTTCCCAATTGGTCTGAAATGGTGTTTTCCATTTGGTCCCAATTGGTTTTGAAATGGTTTCCTAATGGAAAATAAATCCCATTTGATTTCAAATGGTGTTTTCCATTTGATTCCAATTGGTTCCAAATGGAATAAAACCATTTCATCCCAAATGGTGTGTCCCATTTGGTCCCAATTGGTATCTAAATGGTTTCCATATGGAAGAAATTCCCATTTGATCTCTAATGGTTTTTCCCATTTGATCCCACTTGGTGTCCAATTGGTCTCCAAATGGAATAAAACCATTTCATCCCAAATGGTATGTCCCCAATTGGTATCGAAATGGTTTCCAATTGGTAATTTCCCAATTGCTCCGAAATGGTGTTTTCCATTTGATCCCTATTGGTTTTGAAATGGTTTCCTATTGGAAAATAAATCCCATTTGATTTCAATTGGTGTTTTCCATTTCATCCCAATTGGTTCCAAATGGAATAAAACCATTTCATCCCAAATGGTGTGTCCCATTTGATCCCAATTGGTATCGAAATGGTTTCCAATTGGTAATTTCCCAATTGGTCTGAAATGGTGCTTTCCATTTGATCCCAAATGGTATGTCCCCAATTGGTATCGGGATGGTTTCCAATTGGTAACTTCCAATTGGTCTGAAATGGTGCTTTCCATTTGATACCAATTGGTTCCAAATGGAATAAAACCATTTCATCCCAAGTGGTGTGTCCCATTTGATCCCAATTGGTATCTAATGGTTTTTCCCATTTGATCTCAAATGGTTTTTCCCATTTGATCTCAAATGGTTTTTCCCATTTGATCCCAATTGGTGTCCAATTGGTCTCCAAATGGAAGAAAACCATTTAATCCCAAATGGTTTGTCCCATTTCATCCCAATTGGTTTTGAAATGGTTTCCATTTGGGAGTCGGGAGATATTCATATTTGATCTAAATTGTCCAAGTGGTCTCGAAATAGAATTTTATCTGATAAAGCGTGTCTTATTTAATCCCAATTGTTATTGAAATGGTTTCCATTTGGAAGATATATTCCTATTTGATATGAAATGGACAATGGTTTTCCCATTTGATCCCAATTGGTGTCGAAATGGTTCCCAAATGGAAAAGCAAATCTGTTTTGAAATGGTGTTCCCATTCTATTTCAACTGGTGTCGAAATGAAAAATGCATTTGAAAAGCATTCAAGGGTCGTTTTAGGCAAGAAAAAACATACTTATATGGCAATAACTTTTATTTCATGAGATGAATAAAAGCAAAGCCCGAACCGTAGTCGGAGCTGGAGTCAATTTTCGAGTCAGAGTCGGAGTTAGAGTCATAAATCCACCACTTTGCAGCCCTGTTTCCAGATGTGTGACAAGTATGCTTCAAAAGTGTTTCTACCTTGATGGTCTCTAATGGTTTCAAGTGTGTTTTGAGTATGGACTGGGTATCTATTAGTTCCCAATTGGTACCCTAATGGTTTCTAATGGTTTTTAAACATTTGCTTAAATAACAGACATAGAGGTAATGGGAAGACCTTTGACTGGTTATACTTGATAAGCATCACTACAAGGCCTTGGTTTTTCATTAAATAAAAATGATTCGCAAAATCCACGTCGTTTCCGCTCATTTAAACAGCACTACTTTTTCTCTGTGTGCCTACGCTGGCGGCGCCCGACCGTTGGCGACTTGGCGCCCGGCCGGCCGCGCCGGCGCCACAGTTCAAACCGGGCGTCGACGTCGGCCGGCCGGCCGGCGCGCCACCGTTTCGCGTTCGCTGGGCCTGGGACTGCCCGCGGTCGACCGGGACCCAGTCCTGCTGTAAAAGAGGAAGCTGAGCAGAATCACGCGGCTGGTGAGTGACTTTTCTTGTGCCTCTGTATGCGATATTCGTTTTACGACTGCAAATACTGAAAATATTTATTTGAATAAATTTGGTTGCATTTGGCATCCTTGTAAGTACCTACTGAGTTTAACAGAGGTAAGAGGCTTAAAATTAGCGATCACAATTTATTTTGCCAGCAGAAAATTGTCAGTGCCATATTTGTTGTGGTCAGGCTGCCTAAATGACAATGCAAGTTGCATGAGCTTAAAGTTATTATATTGTGATATTTGACAAATGACCCTGTGTGGTAATTAATTTGATCCCATCGCCCAATTAACCCGTGCTGTCCTGTACTGTTGCAGGCACGAACTTGCACCAGAGAGACGCCGTCTACCGGTTCTACACGGGTCCAGATGGGCTGCATGCCTGCATTATAGCTACGTTCTGACTTCTGAAAATTCTGATCGCCACGGAAGATTAAGAAATCTGTCAGAACAACAGACAGTATCACCGATCGGAATGATATTGTATCACGTCGTTCATTGTGCCTATGTGGAATAGCGTACGTATGGCCCAGTGTATAACTACATTGTAATTCTGTTCTTGATTCTGATAGCAGTCGCCTCATCGATGTGGTGTTGACCAAACAACAATGTCCATGTGTAGTTAATGTCTAATGTTGGTAGGTACGTACTGATGAAAATGTATAAGCTTGCAGAGTAAAACAATAAAAATAATTCATGGTGGTTTTTTATTTTGTGGATGAAATACATGGACTTCGAAAGGATCTTCAAATGGTAATCCAGCTGCCCAGTTAAAAAAACAGAAATTTCCAAATGGTTCCAAATGGGAAAAACCATTTGACTTATTGAACACTTTTCCAAATGGTTCCAAAGAGGTTCCATTTGAAATGTGTCCAATTGGCCACCAATTGGTACCAATTGGAACCATTTCATGACCATTTGAAATGTGTCCAATTGGTACCAATTGGTGACCAATTGGATACATTTCAAATGGTCATGAAATGGTTCCAATTGGTACCAATTGGTGGCCAATTGGACACATTTCAAATGGAACCTCTTTGGAACCATTTGGAAAAGTGTTCAATAAGTCAAATGGTTTTTCCCATTTGGAACCATTTGGTAATTTCTAATGGTATTTTTTACTGGGCTATGGAGCCTGCAACCGGATGGCACCGTCTCAAGCTCGCGCGCCGCCCACGCCCGTCCTCACGCCAGAATACCCCTTTCAGTGTGTCTGTGCAGATCTCTTCCACTACATGGGCTCAAACTACCTCGTCGTGGACATATATTCGAACTGGCCCATCGTGGCGAGGGGATCAGATGGCAGTGCCGGCCTCGTAACGTGACTTCGACGGGTGCTCGTCACTTACGGTGTCCCCACTCCCCTAGGAGCTCGCAAGTGACGGTGGACCCGAGTTCACAGCCGCCGCCACCAGGGACTTCCTGAGCGACTGGGTTTGTGAGGCATCGTATGTCCTCTGTCGCCTTCCCACACTCCAACTGCAGGGCGGAAGTCGGAGTCAAAACGGTCAAGCGAATGATCGTCGGCAACAACGGGGCCAACGGCAGCATCGATACCGATGAGTTCGCCGCAGCCATGCTCCAGTATCGAAACACGCCCGACCCAGAGACAAGAATGTCACCGGCTTCCGTCCTCTTCGGCAGGCAGCTCAGAGACATCATCCCGATCCTGCCTAACAAGTACAGGTCTCGCGGGTTTTAGCGGTAGGTTTTGCACCTAGAAAATTTAGTGTATTTCAGGCTATAGATTCGTCGTCTTAAGCTTTCAAGTGTTGAAGATGCGTTCGACTTGTTGGGTAACAAGCCGGCCAGGATCGCGTAAAATGGCTTCCTCGTAGATCGATTAGTTTCTGAGATATAACCGGAAATGTAAAGTGCAAAACCTACCGCTTAATCTCGCGAGACCTGTACCTCCCACACCCAACCTGTCAAGTGTCAAGAAACCCTCTCTGCCAGGAAAGAAGCTCACAGGAACTGCCACATGAAAGCCGCAGAACGATGAAGTGAGCACACTCGCCGCCTCCCACCCCTGGCAGTCGGCAACCACGTCCGCATCCAGAACCAGACAGGACCTCATACCAGCCGTGGGACAAGACCGGTCAGGTCGTCGAAGTGCGCCAGCAAATGCCAGCATGACCAGTATGTCGTCCGAGTGGGTGGGTCGGGACGTGTGACGTGGGACGTGAGAAATAGCCAATTCCTGTGGCGCTTCATCCCAGCCCTGGACGAGCGCCCCAAGCCCAGACTTCTGGCCGACGACATACTAGGTCGCCCACCACCGTCAACCATACCACTACCGACAGTGGTTGTGGAACACTCCAAGAAGTCCATTGAAGATGGTGATAAGGCACCTGATGTGTTACCAGCTTCTGATGTGCCATCCAACGGGGATCCACAGATGACATCAGGCAACCAACCGCCCACAGCCTGGTCACGAGCAGCGACTCCTGACGAACCTACGGCAATGCCTTCACCGGCGTCTCCGACGTCATCAGCTCCTCCCAACACGAGCACAGGACGGGTAACGCCCATGCTGAGGCGGTCAGAACGTGGTAAGAAATGTCCGGCATGGCTGGACCAGTACGAGTGTCAACCACGAGTCGCTGGGGGGGGGGGGCATAAAGTTGACCCCCCTTTACGTTTTGTGAAATATCTCCGAAGCCTGATGAGCTACGAACGTGAAACTTGGCATGGCTTCAAATGAATACCTATTACCCAACCTAGGCAATGTTTGAGGACAGTTTGGTGGTTTTAGCGCTTAAGATGACGTCACAGTGGCGTCATAAAGTTTTGTCGTTTTCCGATATGGATCGTTTCTGATGTCGCTGAGCATGAAACTCAACTGTAGTCTGTAAATGAACTAAACAGCACCTGCTGTCATCCTAGAACATCTAAGTACACTTCCAACTAGTTTCTGACCAATAATCGGTCCTTTATAATCGGTCTCAGACTCTCATATATCGGATATATCGCGAGGAAAGCGAGAGTCGCAAATCTATAATTTGACTTCTAACGTCACTGTGACAGTCATTTCAAATGGGATCGACACCAAATTCGGACACAACCTCGGCTAGATATTCAGGAATATGTGTGCAAAGTTTCGCTTCTCTATCTCTTCGCGTTGCGACGATATCGTCGCAGAAGAACAGGAGGGCAACATGCCCCCCGCGGCCGGCGTGGAGGCCCAGCGGCCGCCGGGTTAAACACCATTCTGGCCCCACGTCTGTATTGTTAGCCAAGAGATCTGCACTCATTTTTATGGGCCAGCACAACAAAGACACTTTTTTGTTCAGCCTTTGCTCCCCAAAGCACTCTAGGGGAGGTAGAGAGTGCTGTGCTGTGTGCGCTTGATGATGTGAGAGTAATGACGTGTTATCCTATCTCATTCATCATCATGTGTTCCTAACATTCCTCTCTGTTTGTGTTTCAGTTATGCGTGCCTTGACATTGTCTAACACTCATGAGTCATGACGTGTCTTTAATTATGAATACAAGCAGAGTGACAAATGGTTTTCATCGGGGGTGAGGAGCCAGAGCTGGAGCCGGCACATTTTGACTGCAGCTGGAGCTGGAGCCGAGGAACAATATAGCCCGGAGCCAGAGCCGTCAAAGAAGGGGGTGACTCGGGCCTTTTTTAAAGAGGAAAACATTTCATTGACCTTCTTTGGTTTGACAGTACAAGGCAGTAAAACATGTGGTACGTCATGGGCCATCACATGAATGAAAAAAGCTGAATACATTATACATATCCCCAGTGTCACACAGAAGTAGACCGCAATCAACCTCCTGTCGACTGTTATGCAAATACAGAAACAACGTGTACCTATCCAATCGCTTTAATTCTTCCACCCATATTTAATTTATCGCAAAGGGGATGTACTGAGTTGGAGTCGGAGCCAGAGCCAGAGCCGGAGCATAGCATTTTACTCGGAGCCAGAGCCGGAGCCGGAGACGCCATGACATTTCACCCGGAGCCTCTCTCACCTGTTTTTTTTTAGCCGATTTTTTTTCTCCGGAGCCGGAACTGTCTGAAATTTCCACGGCTCCACATCCCTAGTTTTCATACCTATTTCATATCTACGACATTCCTACTCAACCCAGTAAAAAATACCATTAGAAATTACCAAATGGTTCCAAATGGGAAAAACCATTTGACTTATTGAACACTTTTCCAAATGGTTCCAAAGAGGTTCCATTTGAAATGTGTCCAATTGGCCACCAATTGGTACCAATTGGAACCATTTCATGACCATTTGAAATGTATCCAATTGGTCACCAATTGGTACCAATTGGACACATTTCAAATGGTCATGAAATGGTTCCAATTGGTACCAATTGGTGGCCAATTGGACACATTTCAAATGGAACCTCTTTGGAACCATTTGGAAAAGTGTTCAATAAGTCAAATGGTTTTTCCCATTTGGAACCATTTGGAAATTTCTAATGGTATTTTTTACTGGGCAGCTGGATTACCATTTGAAGATCCTTTTGAAGTCCATGCATTTCATCCACAAAATAAAAAACTGCACCGTGAATTATTTTTATTGTTTTACTCTGCAAGCTTATACATTTTCATCAGTACGTACCTACCAACATTAGACATTAACTACACATGGACATTGTTGTTTGGTCAACACCACATCGATGAGGCGACTGCTATCAAAATCAAGAACAGAATTACAATGTAGTTATACACTGGGCCATACGTACGCTATTCCACATAGGCACAATGAACGACGTGATACAATATCATTCCGATCGGTGATACTGTCTGTTGTTCTGACAGATTTCTTAATCTTCCGTGGCGATCAGAATTTTCAGAAGTCAGAACGTAGCTATAATGCAGGCATGCAGCCCATCTGGACCCGTGTAGAACCGGTAGACGGCGTCTGTCTGGTGCAAGTTCGTGCCTGCAACAGTACAGGACAGCACGGGTTAATTGGGCGATTGGATCAAATTAATTACCACACAGGGTCATTTGTCAAATATCACAATATAATAACTTTAACCCGGCAGGCGGTGGGCCTACCAGCCACCTTCCGCGCGGTGGGGGGGGGGGGGGGGCACTTTTTTGCCCCCCCCCCCGTATCTCCGAAACTACTGGACGGATCCGGAAAATTCAAACGGCGTTCGATAGCCCTGTCAAATTTGTCGAGGGAAACCAAATTTCATTGACCTCGGGGTCACCGATGACGTCACAGGTCAGGTCAAAGATAAAATGTTTCACCGTTCACGGGGCTTCTAGGGAAAGCGCTATAACACCGAGTAAAACGCATTTTGTCGAAAATCAGCGATAAGGCGTCAGTTGTCTAGTACATATGTTGCTATTAGAGGTCACTGGTCATACCAGGTCAGGTTACAGGTCAGGTCACCAAAGGTCACCAAGGGTCACCACATGAGCCCAACTTTACTAAGGTTATGCGATGCATGTTTTATGGCCAGTTTTTCATTTCCAACTCAATGGTGTTGGTTATAAGACCATCAGGTACGGTTTAGGTCACTTTCTGGTGAAGGTCAGGTCAAGGTCAGGTCAAAAAAGGTCAAATTTCAAAGTTGAAGTTTTTGCATAAAATGGGTATCGATTCGATGCAGCTCGTCATGGGGAGTCTAATAGTGGTCTTTGTTTTGCGCTACGAGGTCTAGAATTGCTAAAAATTGAGTTTGAAAATTAGACGTCATCAATTTTGAACGGTTTTTTTCGCCATAACTTGGCCAAAAAAAGAGGTATCGATCTCAAATTTGGTATGTAGATAGAAAGCGGTAGGGGCTATCACATATATTCCGGTTTTTTCGAAATTCAAAAAACTTTTTGGATTTTTCGGCTATTATATTCAAAAAATCTATGTTTTGATTTTTGTGGGTCAAAATCCAAAAACTTCGAAAAATCGAAATATCAGTTTTGTAGCCCTTTTAATTCCACACCTTTTATGTCTGAAACATATTTCTGTATCTCTAAAGCTGTAGGCCTGACAGCTCTTCCCGCGAAACCTTTTTTTGGGTCGAAAATGGCAAAAATGACGTCACTCTGACGTCATTAGCGGCCAACCTATCATAGCCTTTGGAAAAAATTTTGGTCACCATGTGCGCTAGCTGCTCCCGGGAGGGTACTGAAAGTTTGGTGACGATCGGCGCAGCGGTTCTCGAGATATATCGAAAAAACTAAAGGGGGGGGGGGGCAAAAAAATGCCCCCCCCCCCCACCGCCTGGAAGGTTAAGCTCATGCAACTTGCATTGTCATTTAGGCAGCCTGAACACAACAAATATGGCACTGACAATTTTCTGCTGGCAAAATAAATTGTGATCGCTAATTTTAAGCCTCTTTCTCACCTCTGTTAAACTCAGTAAGGTACTTACAAGGATGCCAAATGCAACCAAATTTATTCAAATAACTATTTTCAGTATTTGCAGTCGTAAAACGAATATCGCATACAGAGGCACAAGAAAAGTCACTCACCAGCCGCGTGATTCTGCTCAGCTTCCTCTTTTACAGCAGGACTGGGTCCTGGTCGACCGCGGGCAGTCCCAGGCCCAGCGAACGCGAAACGGAGGCGCGCCGGCCGGCCGGCCGACGTCGACGCCCGGTTTGAACTGTGGCGCCGGCGCGGCCGGCCGGGCGCCAAGCCGCCAACGGTCGGGCGCCAACGGTCGGGCGCCGCCAGCGTAGGCACACAGAGAAAAAGTAGTGCTGTTTAAATGAGCGGAAACGACGTGAATTTTGCGAATCATTTTTATTTAATGAAAAACCAAGGTCTTGTAGTGATGCTTATCAAGTATAACCAGTCAAAGGTCTTCCCATTACCTCTAAGTCTATTATTTAAGCAAATGTTTAAAAACCATTAGAAACCATTAGGGTACCAATTGGGAACTAATAGATACCCAGTCCATACTCAAAACACACTTGAAACCATTAGAGACCATCAAGGTAGAAACACTTTTGAAGCATACTTGTCACACATCTGGAAACAGGGCTGCAAAGTGGTGGATTGATGACTCTAACTTCGACTCTGACTCAAAAATTGACTCCAGCTCCGACTACGGTTCGGACTTTGCTTTTATTCATCTCATGAAATAAAATTTATTGCCATATAAGTATGTTTTTTCTTGCCTAAAACGACCCTTGAATGCTTTTCAAATGCATTTTTCATTTCGACACCAGTTGAAATAGAATGGGAACACCATTTCAAAACAGATTTGCTTTTCCATTTGGGAACCATTTCGACACCAATTGGGATCAAATGGGAAAACCATTGTCCATTTCATATCAAATAGGAATATATCTTCCAAATGGAAACCATTTCAATAACAATTGGGATTAAATAAGACACGCTTTATCAGATAAAATTCTATTTCGAGACCACTTGGACAATTTAGATCAAATATGAATATCTCCCGACTCCCAAATGGAAACCATTTCAAAACCAATTGGGATGAAATGGGACAAACCATTTGGGATGAAATGGTTTTCTTCCATTTGGAGACCAATTGGACACCAATTGGGATCAAAGGGCAAAACCATTTGAGATCAAATGGGAAAAACCATTTCCGATCAAATGGGAAAAACCATTAGATACCAATTGGGATCAAATGGGACACACCATTTGGGATGAAATGGTTTTATTCCATTTGGAACCAATTGGTATCAAATGGAAAGCACCATTTCAGACCAATTGGGAAGTTACCAATTGGAAACCATCTCGATACCAATTGGGGACATACCATTTGGGATCAAATGGAAAGCACCATTTCAGACCAATTGGGAAATTACCAATTGGAAACCATTTCGATACCAATTGGGATCAAATGGGACACACCATTTGGGATGAAATGGTTTTATTCCATTTGGAACCAATTGGGATGAAATGGAAAACACCAATTGAAATCAAATGGGATTTATTTTCCAATAGGGAACCATTTCAAAACCAATAGGGATCAAATGGAAAACACCATTTCGGAGCAATTGGGAAATAACCAATTGGAAACCATTTCGATACCAATTGGGGACATACCATTTGGGATGAAATGGTTTTATTCCATTTGGAGACCAATTGGACACCAAGTGGGATCAAATGGGAAAAACGATTAGAGATCAAATGGGAATTTCTTCCATATGGAAACCATTTAGATACCAATTGGGACCAAATGGGACACACCATTTGGGATGAAATGGTTTTATTCCATTTGGAACCAATTGGAATCAAATGGAAAACACCATTTGAAATCAAATGGGATTTATTTTCCATTAGGAAACCATTTCAAAACCAATTGGAACCAAATGGAAAACACCATTTCAGACCAATTGGGAAAAAACCAATTGGAAACCATTTCAAATGGTCATGAAAACCATTAGAACCTATTTCAAACCATTTGACACATTTGAAACCAATTGGTAAATCCTAATGGTTTCAAATGGTATTTTTTACTGGGAAGCTAGAGCAATAACAATAACCGAGATCCAAAGAGCTTGATCGATCAGAACGGGTCCAAAAGGCCTCTGGACTCCCAACGTCCCCCAAAGTCCTGCCAAGTGAGGTAAAAGTTGGGTAAAAGGTAACTACCTGCACCATTGAAATATCAAAACAAAATAGAAAAATAAAAACAGAATTGTGCGTCTATAGATGGCCTTGATTGTGCGTAACTACTAACTACCCCTAGAGAAAAAACCATTAGCAATGGTCTAATGGTCTAATGGTCTATATGGAAATTGAAACCCTAATGGTCTAATGGTCTAATGGTTTGTAGTGGTCTTATGGTCTGATGGACAGATGGGCTAATGGTCTAATGGTCTAATGATTTCTTATGGGCTAATGGTCTGATGGTCTAATGGTCTGATGGTCTAATGGTCTGATGGTCTAATGGTCTGATGGTCTAATGGGCTAGTGGTCTAATGGTTTCTTATGGCCTAATGGTTTCTTATGGTCTAATGGTTTCTTATGGTATGATCACCATACCACAAGAAACCATTAGACCATAAGAAACCATTAGGCCATAAGAAACCATTAGGCCATAAGAAACCATTAGACATGTTTTCTGATAGTCTATGGGTTACCAATGGTCTCAATGGTAACAATGGTTTCTGGTGGTATCTTGTTAAAACATTCATATGGTGCAAATCCGATCTATTAACATTGGCATTCCACATGGTAATACATGACATAACAGTCCCCAGCATTCATTTTTCTCTGCCATGTTCGGTCCCATGTATGTACAGGCACGGATCTTTTTCAGCCGTGTATATTTTCACATTTGGAGCCTTGTCTTTTTTCCAATGAAGGTCTAGGAATTTTGTTTCATTATGAATCAGGATTTTTTCATTGTATGCTCCGCCTGTGTCTTCTGCCCCTCGCTTCATCATCTGTGTCCGTAGTTAACCTGTAACAAAAGTGCACCTTTACATGGTTGTCTTACTTACCAATTGTTAGTTGAGCTTTACATTTTTTTTGCTTTTTTACACTTTTGATTATTTGATCATAAGTTGAAATTTTTTATTTTCTATAAAAAGGAGAACTGGTAAATGCACAGGGTGGCTCACGTTAAACACCTGATTTGAAACTTGAATAGCTTCCTTCATTCTTAATTAAATTGGAAGATATTTTCACACAATGTAGGTACATATGTTTGGGATTATATTCATCCAATTTTCAGACAAATCCACTCACTTTCAGCTCAGTTGTGCATCTCAACGTGACCCCATCGTTTTCAGTAACTTTCTTGAGGCGCTCGTGGTATGCCAGCGTATATTCCCTGCGCATCTCGACGGTGATCCCTGCAAAGGCGGCGATCCAACCCGACCTTACAAGTTACAACTCCAGAATGCTCGCCGACCACGTCACGTACACCTTCGAGTTCATAAACCCCTATATTAAAAAATAACATGGGGTGAGGTCGGACTTTACTTAACCTGCCCTGGTTATACCCTGAGCCCTGTTCAAGTGCTCTGCGGCCGCCGCGGCTCCCGCGGCCGGGAGGCGGAGCCTAATATCGGTTAGGTTGAACACCCTCGCGGCTGCGGCCGCTGCGGCCGGCGACGAGAATGGCACGGTTGTTTTGAAAGGAGATGCTGATCAAAATTTTGTGGGTAATTGCTTTATAATGGCTTTATTACTTCAATTAGTACCTTTTTGAAGCATTTATACCTTAACAACATAATAAAATCAACCGAAACAAAGAGCGAAATCCGCAATGTTTTGTCTCACGCGCGCAGTTTATGTCGAAGTTTCCCTGCGGTCGCTCCCGAGCGACCGCGGGAGCCGCAGGAAGAGCTACGCATTACCCAGAATGCTGCTCTCGCCTGATTGGCGTTACCGCGCTTGCCCAATCTGCTTTGCCGAATCTGCCCTGCCCCAGCCCATCGCGCACGGCCGACCTCACCCCGCGTGACTTTTTCAAGTAGGGGTTTGTGGAGTCGAAGGTATACGTGACGTGGTCAGCGAACATTCTGGAGTTGTAAGGTCGGGCTAGAGCCGCCTTCCCAGGGATCACCGTCGATCAGATGCACAACTGCACGGAAGCCGCGCTGGCATTCCACGAGCGCCTCGAGAAAGTTACTGAAAACGATGGGGTCACGTCAAGATGCACAACTGAGCTGAAAGTGAATGGATTTGTTTGAAAATTGGATGAACAATCCCAAACAAGCACCTACATTGCGTGAAAATAGCTTCAATTTGAAAGCCTCACGTGAATTTTCATACGGCCTGTAACATATGCACTATGTACCTATATTAGGTACATTAAACATTACTTACTTCTCAGTTCTAATGGCAATTTTTTGGGGGTGAGCCTTTGCTTCGTCTCACACCCTTGAATCCGGTTCCAAGGTGTGCAGGTGACTGACCGGTCTGCTCTTGTAACTGATTGTATATATATCAATGCTCGACCATAACTGCGGCACATCCACTCCCGGCCGTCCCGTCCCACGACTCCGACTGCCGGCCAGGCCCCGCCCACTTCCACACCTGGCGGGCGGCGGCTGCGCTACGGGTAGGAGCCGACGCGCGAGACGGATCACGGCCCGCTAACCCGTAAATAACACTATACGGGCCAAAGCCCGCTGAACCATGGCTCACACATCACACACACATCACACACTCCCCCCTGACTTTCAAGTCATACATGTCAGCAGCACTCAGAGTAGCGGAGATTCGGCCTACGGATCCGTCCAGACATTCTCGGGCGCGGCGGCTCGAACATGTCTCCCTCGCCATCGCTATGTACATTATCCCCATCGGCACCTGGCAGGTCACGCTCGTCCCTCTCACCGCGCCCATCACGCTCGTCCCCTCCTGCAGTTCGGGGCCAAATCAGCATTAACGGCTCACCATCACTCTCGTCACTCTCCGCGTCACCGGTGCCGCACTCTGAGCGTGAACGGCGGCGTAGTTCTCGGACGTGTCTCGGCACCCCATCCACTTCGACACACTGGTCGGAGATGACACGAGTCACCTCTCCTCTCCCGTACCTTGTGTCACAGCGAGCACGAGGCGGTCGGACCCACACACTGTCCCCGGGGCGATACAGCGAGCGGCCACGTCCCTCCCCGTCAGACGTTTCGCACACACGGGGCACCGGCGTCGCCTGGTCTTCGAGACCTTGTCACGGTTCGTCGGAAGGTCATCTCAGGCTCATAAGAAACGATTTATACCATTCGAAAGCTGACGATGCGCTGAATCCGAAAATGTAATTTTTATCAAAATCGATCGATGGCCTTTTTTGAAAATTGCGTTTTTGTAAAAACTTAATAATTTTTTATTCAACGGGCTGTCCCAGACATTCTTGAAAATATAAACATGTATTTTTGAGTTCCAGTGAAAGCTGAATGTCAAAAGAACAATATCTAGCGGAGCACTATTTCCAAACATTAATATGCGTCTCCCACAGCCGACAATAAGGCGCAATTACACAGCTCAGCGTCACGATGGACCAAAGTCAGCCACACAGAAGCGTGAAATGATCCTTATCGACTCGCAGACCCGGCGCTCTCGGCCCGCCTGACCGGCCACGGAAAGAACGTTCGGCTCTCGTTCTACTTAACAAATGTCATATTTGTCAGTTTAACTGTCCACATCGCTATTAAAGTTATTCAGGATACTTGTGAAGAAAATTCATTGCTCTGTCATCTTCACATCTTGCATTAATTTACATTTGTTCATGTCTACTTTGCTCAATTGAGCTTGGTATCATGCCCATATAAGGAAAATTGGCCGCGGTGAAATGTCAGAGGTTGCACCGGCCTCAGCTCCGGTGGAGTGGGGGTAGCGCCCGGTGGGGCAGGGTAACCTTTGACCGGTCGCACGGCCGAGCAGCTGTCACCAGTACAGCCTCTGACAGTGAAACCCCGCTCACTTCCCCTGCGCGGGCACTGAGCGCAGCTGGATGGAACAAAACATGTATAAGAAAAATGTAAATTAAAGCATGTTGTAAATCAAGCAGAACAATGAATTTTCTGCACAAGTATCCTGAATAACTTTAATAGCGATGTGGTCAGTTAAACTGACAAATATGACATTTGTTTAGTAGAACGAGAGCCGAACGTTCTTTCCGTGGCCGGTCAGGCGGGCCGAGAGCGCCGGGTCTGTGAGTCGATAAGGGTCATTTCACGCTTCTGTGTGGCTGGCTTTGGTCCATCGTGACATTGAGCTGTGTGATTGCGCCTTATTGTCGGCTGTGGGAGACGCATATTAATGTTAGGAAATATTGCTTCGCTAAATATTGTTCTTTTGGCGTTCAGCTTTCACTGGAACTCGAAAAAAAATGTTGATTTTGTTCAAGAATGCCCGGGACAGCCCGTTGATAAAAAAATTATAAAGTTTTTACAAAAACGCAATTTTCAAAAAAGGCCATCGATCGATTTTGATAAAAAATACATTTTTGGATTCAGCTCACCGTCAGCTTTCGAATGGTATATACCGTTTCTTTTGAGCCTGAGATGACCTTCCGACGAACCGTGTTGTACGCGCAGCTCATATCGGTACAGCATATTTGCCGGTGCAGAGTCGGCTGTCTGGTCATTCAGCGGGGTAACATTGTATCTGTATACTGCCTCAGCTACAGTACAGTTTTTACGAGCAGCGATCACGATGGCATCTCTCGATCACGCCGTTTCCTGACGCCACATGCGCACAGCGGAAGCGGAGCTGTACCGCCCAGTTTGTCACAAAGGCATGAAACCTTCGGCTGCGGAACGCGGGGTCATTGTCGGCCAGTAGCTCTCTCGGCGCCCCTCTTTCCAAAAATACTGAGGTCAGCTGCTCGACCACTGCAGAGCTCGTCTGCAGCCTCAACGGGCGCCATATGGAGAACCGGCTCGGGCCGCAGTCTATCAAGGTCAGATATGCCCTGCCCCGCACATGGGTCACATCCATCGCCACTCTGTCCCACACCCGTTCCACACTCAGGTCCCCTTTCCGCCACTTCACAGCCGCAGGATCAATAGAACGGCAGAGTTCACAGTTAGACACTACACTCCTAACCAGACTCTTTGCGACTCCCGGCAGCACTCGTCTCGCAAAATAAAATGTTCTCCGGACGCCCGGGTGCGCATTTACAAACTGTATACACGCCTTCGGAGCGCCAATCATATTGCACCAGCCGCTGGCGTGACGTCGGCCATGACGTCAGAGAAGGGGCGGAGCGAAGCTGGTTAGCCAGCTGTTTTCACAGCGCGGCGGGCGGCGGCGGCGCAGTGCGGCGAGCGCGCGATTTTGTTTGTAAACAATCGTTGCCAAGGCCGTATTGGTATAGATGGTTGCAGCGTGATTGATTTTGATTGTTTGATTGATGTGATGCGACGAGTATCATGGATGAGGATACTTACGATAGCATAATTGGTAAACACACTTGCCTGCAAAATTTGAATGTCAATCAGACCGCTGGTTCACCGAGCGCCTGTGGCCAAGTGGCTATGATCCGCGCATATCACCTAGAGGAGCCGAGTTCGATTCTCGGGGCGGCGAGTTTTGCTCATGAGCTCCGACGTCTAATTGAACGGTTTTACGTAAGCCTATAAGTAATATAAAGCAAACCCCTCTTATTGACGAACGCGGTTGGCGGCTCACACGCATGTTGCAGGTCAGAGTGGGTGGTATGAAACGACGCGTCTCGACCATCTCCGTGTTGTTTGCTAGGTGTGCACGCTGTCAGTGCACGGGTTTTGTGCATTTCGCCGAAAATCATTCTGGATTCTAATGAAATCGGACGTCTAAATAGGCCGACTCGGAGGCGCTCTGAACGGCAAACGGCTTAAAAGATCAACTTGAAACTTATACGCCCGTCTAGCGGCATCGATTTTGGCGAGGCACTTTTCGGATCTCTAACTATGCTCCAAATTGGCGAAGATCCGAAAAGTGCCTCGCCAAAATCGATGCCGCTAGACGGGCGTATAAGTTTCAAGTTGATCTTTTAAGCCGTCTGCCGTTCAGAGCGCCGCCGAGTCGGCCTATTTAGACGTCCGATTTCATTAGAATCCAGAATGATTTTCGGCGAAATGCACAAAACCCGTGCACTGACAGCGTGCACACCTAGCAAACAACACGGAGACGGTCGAGACGCGTCGTTTCATACCACCCACTCTGACCTGCAACATGCGTGTGAGCCGCCAACCGCGTTCGTCAATAAGGGGTTTGCTTTATATTACTTATAGGCTTACGTAAAACCGTTCAATTAGACGTCGGAGCTCATGAGAAAAACTCGCCGCCCCGAGAATCGTACTTGGTCCCTCTAGGTGATATGCGAGGATCATATCCACTTGGCCACAGGCGCTTGGTGGACGATCGGTCTGATTGACATTCAAACTTTGCAGGCAACTGTGTTTACCAATTATGCTATCGTAAGTATAAGTTAGTCTTTCGGATGAACTATTTTCCCAAACAAGATCAGGGGTTTTAGCTAGTTGTAAATATTTAACACAACATTACAATTTCTCATCGAGTAGGTAAGCTCCACGATCCGCGAGTCTTCCGCTCCGCCCCTGCACTTGACGTCACCTGCCAAGCGCCGCTACAGCCTTTCACTCCGCCCATTGGCATGACGTCACGGCTCGGTCTCCGAAGACGTGTATACAGTTTGTAAATTTGCCGCCCGGGTGTCCGGCCGTGTGGTGAATCTCACTGATCTTTCTCCGTGTCGAGTCGCCGTCCTCGCCTGTAGATTGACTCGCCGCGGCCGAGCCAGCGGTGGCGGCCGTCGGCGTCTCGCTGCTCGCCGCTCCGGTCTCGCCGGGCGCGGCCGGCGGCTCAGCCGACCTGTCCGCCGCCGGGCCGGCGCTGGCAGAGCCGGGAAGATTTCTGTCTGCCGCGC